ATCTTAAATTAGAGCAAATCAATACACCTGGATAAAAACAGTGGTATGCTAACATGTGATAATATCACATCAATATATAATTATTCTTAATTCCACCTGCAGAATGGAATGTTTATAACTATATATTCTTTAGTTAACTAAGATTTCTTAATATGGAAATCTGACTGTGCTTTATCCTAGTCGTATCTCGTGCTAATAGTAAATTTTAATTAATTTAATTAATTAAATGAAACCAGTATAATTACCAGTTGAGTAGATATTTCATCCGATTGGTAGTCTCAGGAACTTATTTGGATGTCTGTAGGTGCATGAGTTATGATGAAAGGTGGTGTTGGTTAGAAAGTCAGTAAAGTTCTAAGTGTTAGAGTTTTAAGAGTAGAGTGTTAGTCTCAGATGTTGTCCTGGGTTTCTCTGCATGTCCGAGTTGGAGTCCCCAAACTTCCAATTCTTCTCTCCTCCTTTTCCTCTCTTTGCATACCCTCTATCTTCCCTTTGTCCTAACTTTTAAAGGGCCAGACTCTCTGTACATCATCAGTTGATAACCCAATAGAAGCACTAGAGGTGTGGTTATCTAGGGATCGCAATTTAGGTATTTGGTCTATAGAGGGCAGTCTTGTCCCACTAAACATACCTATCCAGGAAAGAGTTAACTTTTCTTGGTGGCTATTTTGACGTCATTTTGCTAATCTAAAATGACTACCATAACTTACATTTGCTGTCAGATCAAACAGTTTCTTTAGGTTTTGTCCAGACTTAGTGTCCGCAATTCCTGCTATAATTTCTGATATGGCAGATCATGAACTAAGTTTAACCTTTTCCGTACAATGGTACCTTATACATACATAGAAGGTAAAATTTAATTATTTAATCTTCTCTGTCACAAATGTCTGGGTTTAGAATTGATCTATTCCATTAGCATTTTAGACAGTCTATCCAACCTCCGTTCTCCTTATCACTTGGTTTGTTTATACTATGCATTCCTTTAGCTCTGGCAGAGTGGTTAGTTTTCAGAAAGAAATCTTGTGTCTTTTTGTTAACTTGGAAATAACAAAATGGAGTCTGCTCTGTTCAGAGTGACTCAGAATATACACTTTTAATTTCTATCCTAGCACAAGATGTCTGCCGATATAAATACCCTGACAGGAGATCTACCACTATTACCGGGTATCTAAGAGTTTTGTTACCTATTTTAAACTTTAACCAGGTATTACCAATAACACAAAGGGCATTTCCTCCTACACTCAACAGAGCATTGGGGAAATCTCTTAGCTTTGGCTTATCCATTGCGAAGTCCATTACCTGCTGGAAGTAGGTATTGGATAAGATAGTGGCTTGTGAACCAGTATCTATTAACCCTTTGAAAGGTTGGGGTAGAGAATCCTGTATATCTGCACACATGTAGTACCTTTCTTCATGTTCTTCTAATTCACATAAGAATTTAGAATGTGTCAACATATCACTCGTTTGCCATACATTACCCGTCACAGCAATAGTTTCTACCTTTACTGAGGAATGCTCAGTCTTACCCACAGACCCATCCTTCTTAGGGATTTCTTGAACTTTCAAGTGGAAACTAGTGGTCGACATCTCATCCGTTAACCCTTTCAGATCAGGATCCTGGAAACTAGAGGCTGCTAGGGATATTTTAGCCTTTTGAAAAAACAGAGAGAAACGTTGCGCCTCCTTCACTCGAAAGTGAAGTGACTGGGCAGGCAATAGTTTTTCTAACACAACTATTTTTTGTCTAACTGTGAGGATCTGGAAAGGAAACCAGGTTAGGCATTCGATCTATTGACAACCTAGCCTGTTTGTTCACAGTGGCTGTTATTGCAGCAGCACCTGTGGTTGCTGTTGCAGTTGAATAGGTGGCTCTGCAATTGGGGCTGTCCCTAAAAACAGGATTTCTGGCAAAGATTGATTAACCCCTTAAGACCGAGGGCGCACTATTACGCCCTATTTTAGGCGGCTCTAAACGCCGCCGGGCGTAATAGTACGCCCTCCGGTCTTTCATTACTTACCCGGTCGCCGGCGATCGCGGTTGGGGGGACTCCCAGGGAGTCCCCCGCGGCATGTCCGACCCCCTGGAAGCCCCCCAGCCATGTGAGAGTGAGGTCCTTGCGAGGACCTCACAATCACATGGCCGGGATAACTGGCTGCAGCATTGCCAGCAGGGGTGCTGCCTGTAATGACAGGTGGTCCCCCTGCTGGCTGAAAATAAAATTAAATAAAAGTTAAAAGTGTAAAAAAATAATAATATCTACTTAGATCATATATATATGTTATATATATATGATCTAAGTATATATATATATATATATATATATATACACACATATACATATACACAAGTACACTGTCTAGGTGTATTTTACTATTAATATATATAATTATATATATATATATATAAATATAAAATTACACGTAGACTGATACTGAATAAATATATATATAATTATTGTTATATATATATTTATATATAATATAAAAAAATGAAATATGTAAATACGTTAAAAAATAAAATTAAAAAAATAATTAAAAAATATATAGATGTGTGTTATTTCGTTCTAACTGTATTGTGATATTAATATATCTTTATATTTATATCAAAATACATGTAGAACGAAATAATATATATATCTATATACATAAACATATATGTATATATCACTATATATATACCTATATATAAATAAAAATATTTTTAAAAAATTATATATATATATATACATATATATTCACATACGTATATATATATATATATACATATCTTAATTCTACATATATATTTATGTAATAATTTTACATAATTGGGTATCTTAATTAATTACAATTAGCGGGACCTGCCTGACAACCCATGCCGAAAGTAAAGGAAATTTAATTTGCTAGCACTATATTTAACCCTATAACTTTCCAAGACACCATAAAACCTGTACATGGGGGGTACTGTTCTACTCGGGAGACTTCGCTGAACACAAATATTAGTGTTTCAAAACAGTAAAATGTATTACAACGATGATATCGCCAGTAAAAGTGAAGTTTTTTGCATTTTTCACGCACAAACAGCACTTACACGGACGATATTATTCCTGCGATACTTTTTACTGTTTTGAAACACAAATATTTGTGTTCAGCGAAGTCTCCTGGGTACAACAGTACCCCTCATGTACAGGTTTTATGGTGTTTTCAAAAGTTACAGCGTCAACTATAAGGCTTGTGTTTCATTTTTTTTCACATTAAAATTCGCCAGATTGGTTACGTTGCCTTTGAGACCCTATGGTAGCCCAAGAATGAAAATTACCCCCATGATGGCATACCATTTGCAATAGTAGACAACCCAAGGTATTGCAAACGGGGTATGTCCAGTCTTTTTTAGTAGCCACTTAGTCACAAACACTGGCCAAAATTGGCGTTTTTTGCATTTTTCACACACAAATACTAACGCTAACTTTGGCCAGTGTTGTGACCAAATGGCTACTACAAAAGACTGGACATACCTCATTTGCAATACCTTGGGTTGTCTACTATTGCAAATGGTATGCCATTATGGGTGTAAATTTCATTCCTGGGCTACTATAAAGTCCCAAAGGCAACGTAACCAATCTGGTGAATTTCAATTTCAAATGTAACGTGCTATATTTGACCCTGTAACTTCCCAAAACGCTATAAAACCTGTACATAGGGGTACTGTTTTACACGTGAGACATCGCTGAATACAAATATGTGTATTTTATTGCAGTAAAAGCAAACAGTATTATGACATTGACAGTTAAAATGTCATGTAGAACTAAAAAAATAAAACAAATCTTATTTTCTCCCATTTTTTTCATATTAAATGATGTTTCATAGCTAAATATTTGATACTAAATGAAAGCCCTGTTTCCCCTGAATAAAACTATATATAATAAGGGTGGGTGCATTTACTATGAAAGAGGTGAATTACGGTTGGACAGACATGTAGCGCAAATGCCAGGTTTTGTTTACATTTTGTTTCGTTCACAACGTGTACATTTGGCTCCGTCCTTAAGGGGTTAATCCTTGTCATTTCTTCCATTAATTTGCCCATCTGGTCAGCCAATTGACCAACCTGACTACGCAAATTATTTTTTTGTATTTTTGTGCAACCTTTTGGTACACAGTGATGACTACTAATCTCACTTGCTGATTTTTGACTCTCCTTTTCGCATTTTTCCAATTTTCTCCTTTGAGCTGATTTACTTCCTGTGCATATATATCCTCCATATTTTTCAGTTTTTTTTCATGATCAGCCTCACGAGTATTATGTTCAGCAGGTAAATCTTGGTATTTCCCTTCTTGAATGCCCAGACTGTCTATGTATGTGTCCGGTCTGGTATTCAGTACACCGTTTTCTTCTAACACCTTTAGATGTTCTAACATAAAGGCCAAGAGTGTATTATGTACCCCATTTTTTTTTCTCTATGTTGCTTTGGTCTCCAATTAATTTAAGATGTCTTATTATGGATGAATTGTTTAGAGTGGTAGAATTAACCTCCTCTTCTATCTCATTCATCCATTCCTTGTAGTCTCTATCAACCTTCATATATCTATGAATTTTGACTAGAGCATGAAGTTCCAGGTCTTCAAATATTTGGAAATTGTCTGATACAGATGGATCACTGTACTCTGCCATATTTTATACACTGAATTAGTCTTAATACAAAACTCTTTTCTATATCAAGATTAATATTGCATGAATTACACAAATAGCAATGCCTCCAAATTACTGTGTGAAATACAATTTCAACTAATGATCTCAGCAGCCTGCCTCCAAATTGTGAGGATATTTATGGGGTGATAAATATTAAAAATAGGGGGGGCGTGGCCGACCGGCGATGGAGTAGGTCGCAAGTAAGAGAGGCTCTGCGGTCCCCGACTCAAAAGCCCCTGTTCACAGCACACCGGCAGCCACAATGGGGAAATCCCGACGTCAGCTGACCCCCGGACCGCCGGGTACGGCATCGCCGAAACGGCAGGCGGGCCCAATGGACGAGTTTCTGTCCACACCCGACGGCCTCAGACACACGCGGCCGTCGGGCAAAATGGCGCCTGATTCACCAGGCACAAGCAGCACGGCCGGATCCATAGCAGGCTCCACGCAAGCAGACACCCTAACCCAGATATCTGCTGAGTTAGCAGCCATAGCCTCCAACATGCTGACAAAGGCAGACAAGGTGACCCTGGTACAGGAAATGCGCTCCGCTATCAGGGAAGAGATTCAAGAGGTGAGAAATGATCTAACCACCCTGGAGCAGCGGGTCACTGAGCTGGAAGCTGATTGTATGCTGGCCTCTCAACACTCCCAAGCTGCCGACAATGCCACCTCAAGGCAGGGTACCGTCCTCCTGGATCTAAGAAGATAGGTCGAAGACCTGGATAACCGCGGACGACGCAATAATATCCGCGTGCGAGGCCTGCCAGAACAAGCGGGGGAAGACCTCAGCGACATCCTGCAGCGACTTTTCGCGGATGTACTGGGAGAGGAAGCCCCAGACACCTACAATATTGAGAGAGCCCACAGAGCACTCCGACCCCCTAGGAACGACGGACCCCCCAGAGACATTATATGCTGTCTACTATCTTTTCAACTAAAAGAAGCTATTATGAAGGCGGCCAGATCACAAAACATCACGTATCTTGGCGCCCAGGTGTCCCTGTTTCAAGATCTCTCGCCCCTGACGCTGGAAGCCCGCCGAGCACTACGTCCACTTACCCGAATGCTGCAAGATAGGAGGATCCCGTACAGATGGGGACACCCTTTTAGCCTGCAAGCCCGGAAGGACAATGCATGGCGCACGCTGAGATGGCCGAACGAAGTCCCCGGGTTCCTGAGAGCCCTGGACCTGCCTGCGGTAGCCATACCTAACTGGATCTTGATGGGTCCACCACAGCATCCTGCGGGCCCCGCTGGTCCGACACCGCCTAGCAACCGGAGGGAAAGGCCCCCACGGAGAGGGGGACCGGACGGCCCCGAAGAATAAAGCCCGGAGTCACATGGGTCTGAGATCCACCCTCCCCCGCGGGATGGCGGTCCCCCCTTCATCTGCACACCTGGCGGGTGCGGACACCCTGGACTTGCAGAGGTTTCTCCCATTGGCGGTATGTGCCTCCCCTCTCTGCTCTAAAACTTTGCCCCACGACAAAGCCCACGCTGGCTGGGTTGCTCCCCCCCCTTCTCCCCCCTCTCCCCCGGGGGGCCCCGGCCTGCTCCGGGATTTAACTGCCTCAGAACTCCAGCCCACGCCTTACGGACAAAACCCAGGACTCTTAGCCATCCAGAAAGCTACAGCGGGTGGGAAAAGCCTACTTGGGAGGAGGGATAGCAGACACGAAACTCACCCTACTTGCGGGTGGGAAAAGCCTACTTGGGAGGAGGGATAGCAGACACGAAACCCACATGTGTGGAGGGCTAACTTACTCTACGATCATGGTCACTCCATCATAGGGGCGCGGGTGGGCCTTGGGCACACAACCTGGGCACTCCTATCCCTCCACATGTGGCTGTTAAAGGTTCCCCTTACTAGTTTTGCTCGGGTGCAGGAGGGAAGTTCGTGGAAATAGCGGGCTTGGGGGACACAGAGGGAGCAGGCGGGGAGCGGGGCCGGGTGCCTGTTTGGGGTGGTGCGGGGAGGGGGGGGGGCGACACTACACCCCCTGTAGCCAACAAGACAGACACTACAAGCCTATGATACCTAGCCCAAGCATATAGGGGGGGCACCACACCAGGCCTCGGGTTGGGGAATAAGTGGGCCCGATAAACTGAGGCTTCTAACTGGGCTAGTGGGACCTGAGACACAGACACAATGGGGAGGAGAGATCCGAGGTGGGCACCACAGACGTTCCAGGGGGGAGCTGACACCCGCAGGGGGGACTAAAGAGGTGGGCGAGGACTGTTAGGGGACTATGAGGCGGGACAGGCCTGGCTCCGGCCGTTTAATAGTATACTACGTTAGGCCAAGTTTATGCTATAATGTTCAAGTTAACCCCTCCTAATTTATTTTATTTATTTTTTTTTTTCTTCTTCTTCTTCTTCCTCCACCACTGTTACATAATTCTCTGATATATACACAAAGGGTCTGCAGCTCACGGCGGCGATACGTTCTCGAGCGATTGGCTCCCCAGGCTCAGGTAACCCGAGCAACTCACTTGAGCCGGGCACATGCAGTAGCCTCAATTTCCCCATGAGAATTTCACTCCACCTGGTTACTACAACCCCACACAACCGACTCGGCTTGTAAATTCGATCGGGCCCAGAGGTCTTACCGACCATAGACGGATCGGACGTCCCCTGGGGAACACGACCGATCTTGGGTCACTGTTGTCTTTTACCCCTGACCACACTATCCCCCACACACACACCGACGGTCACCGACAGACTTGCTCTCCCCGACATCTCTCCTCCCCCCCTCCACTTATTATATCTAACTTCTCTCCCCCCCCCTCTCTCTTTTCCCCTCACCCCTCCACCCCACCTCCCACTTCCCCATCCCAGCCTGGCCAGCCTCTGCCGCGATGTCTCAAAAATTTCAATCAGCCCCGCTTCGGTTCTGGTCCAACAACATAAGGGGCTTGAACATCCCCGAGAAGCGCTCACATCTTCTACGGACACTGTGGTCCCAGAAGGTCTCCGTGGCATTTCTGCAGGAGACCCACTTTAAAGATGGGTCAGCCCCCACATTACATGATAAAAGATTCCCCCAGGGCTTTTTCGCGAACCACCAGGACTCCAAAAAATCAGGTGTGGCAATCCTCTTCGCAGGGACGGTGCCCTTCCAATGCACCGCCACACAGGTTGACCCGCTGGGACGGTATCTCTTCATAAAAGGAACCATAGCAGATCGCCCGTATACCCTAGCTAATGTGTACTGCCCCAACCGGGGTCAACACACATTCCTGGCTAAGGCACTGTCCCGCTTAGACAAATTCAAGGAAGGCTTACTGATATTAGCGGGTGACTTGAACACCCCTCTGGACCCCCGAGTAGACACGTCAAGGGGTGACAGCACCATCCCAGACCACTGCATACGCAGGACCAAACAAACACTCATCAGACTAGGCCTATCCGACTGCTGGCGGGTGGCACACCCGGACAGCAGGGATTATACCTGCTACTCTGCCCCCCACAATCAATACAGCAGGATAGATTACATCTTTATCGCGCAAGAGTTCTTCCCCCTGCTTATCACCGCAGACATTGGGATCCAAGGAGACTCTGATCACGCCCCTGTGTCCATCCAGATTCAATCGCCCCTCTTCAAGCCACGGGAGCGCCATTGGCGATTAAACGAAACCATACTATCGGATACAGAATGCTCTAGGCTGACCACACAGGTCCTTACCCAATATTTTGAAACAAACACCACCCCGGACGTGTCCCCTCTGACAACCTGGGAGGCGCACAAATGCGTAGTCAGGGGGCACTACATAAATCTTTGCACACAACGCAAACGGGAGAACACCAGACGCATCCTTGAATTGACTAAACGGATAACTGAACTCGAATCCACCCATAAAAGGGATTTGACAGAAGACATCTACCTCCAACTGACCAACGCGAGAAGACAGCTTAGGGACATACTCTCGCAGAAGCTGCTTAAAGTGGTACGCAGCTCACACCGCTTTTTTTATGAACACTCGAATAAATGCGGTAGACTGCTGGCCCGGACTTTGCAGCAGAGACGGAGGCAAACCCACATTCACAAAATAAAAGCCCATGGCCAACAGGAAACGAGACTGCCAGCAGAGATCCTACAAGCATTCAGGGAATACTACACAAGCCTATATAACCTGGCCGACACGCCCAGCGAACTTCTCCCCGCACAACACAAACGCGAGCTAACAGACTTCCTCACCAAACACGTCACCCGGAAACTCACCCCCGACCAAGCCGCGAACATGGAACAGCCCCTGTCCCTGGAGGAACTAACTGCGGCGCTTAAACTAACCAAATCAAACAGGGCGCCGGGTCCAGATGGTCTCCCTGGGAGCTACCTTCGCACATTTAGAGACGTTCTGCTGCCGCACCTGTTGACAGGCCTGAACTCTCTGCTAGAGGGCGAACAGTTCCCGATGGACACCCTCAGGGCCGTGGTTACGGTCCTACCTAAAGAGGGAAAAGATCCAGCCTGCTGTGCGAGCTACCGCCCCATTTCCCTCCTGAATGCAGACCTAAAGTTGTTTGCGAAGGCCATGGCCCTCCGTCTTGCCGGGGTGCTTCCCTCACTGGTCCATCCGGACCAGGTGGGCTTCATCCCAGGCAGAGAATCACGGGACAACACCATACGGGCCCTCAACATTATCCACTCGGCTCGAAGGCAGGGTCGGCATCTTACTCTCCTCTCCACGGACGCTGAAAAGGCCTTCGACCGAGTGGACTGGGCCTACCTCGCAGCCACCCTACAACACATGGGACTCGGACCTAATATCCGAACATGGATAGCGGCACTCTACACGACACCCACGGCTCGAATACGAGTCAACGGTGCCCTCTCAGAGCCATTCCCTATACGAAATGGCACACGACAGGGGTGCCCCCTGTCCCCCCTGCTGTTCGCCCTCTCCCTGGAACCGTTCCTGGAGGCGGTCAGGATGGACGGGGGAATCACAGGACACACAATAGGGAACGTAGAACATCGGGTAGCGGCATACGCCGATGACCTGCTGTTCTTCCTGGGACAACCCCTGATCTCCATCCCAAACACACTAGGCCTATTCCAACGATTTGGGAGGATCTCGAACCTGAAACTCAACACCGACAAGTCGGAGGCCATGAACATCGCGGCCCCAGCCGCACTCGGGGCGCAACTACGCTCCCACTACGGGTTCAGATGGTGAGGTACCAAATTGAAATATCTCGGCATTTGGTTGACTAAAGACCTCTCACATCTTTACCAGGCTAATTTTGCCCCAATCCTCACCTCCCTACAGGCTGACATGGCCAAATGGACTGACCTCTACATTTCGTGGTTCGGTCGTATTAACGCAATAAAAATGAACATCCTCCCGCGCATTCTGTATCTCTTCCAGACAATCCCGATCACCGTCCCTCGGGCCTTTTTCCACAATATTTCCACCGCGATTCGACACTTCGTATGGAAAAGAGGAGCTCCGAGAATCAGCAAGCTCCAACTGGAGCTACCCAAATTGCAGGGGGGAGCGGGACTCCCCTCGATCATTGGCTACTACCGAGCAACCCATTTGCTGAGGGTCACTGACTGGCACTCGCATCCAACGGAGAAACTATGGGTGCGGGCAGAACTAGCTCAGGCCGAGGGGAAAATACCCTCGGAACTATGGAGGACGGGAATTACACCGAACGCCCTCAACACCGGCAATCCTCTGATAGCCGCAACCCTAAAAGTATGGTGCGCTCTCCGATTCCCCTACCAGCTGACGACACATAGCAACCCGCTTACACCCCTCACCCATAACCCAGACATTGGAGGAGGACTGTCACCCGCTGACCTAAGAAACTTTGGCCGGTCCGATTGGTCCTATATACGCCAATGGTGCAACAACAGCGCACTGAAAACCATACCCGAACTAATCCCTGATACTGCACCAACGATGCTCGACCGGTTCAGATATCACCAGGTCAAATCCTTCTACAACTCCGCGACAGCCAAACAGCAATTCCACCGAGACCCCACATATTTTGAAAAAATATGCATCAGTAGACGACACATCGAGAGAGGGATCTCCACGCTATATGCACTGCTATTGGAGGGTGAGAATAGACCACCACCGAAATACATCGCCAGATGGGAGAGGGAGACGGGGGAGGTACTTGAGGCCCGTGAATGGGATAAAATATTCCTACTCACACACAAAAGCTCTATTAGCTCAAAATTCCAGGAGATGAGCTATAAACTACTAACCACCTGGTACCGAACCCCTGACATACTGCATCGCATGAACCCGGACAATGACGAAAATTGCTGGAGATGCGGAGCAGAGAGAGGCACCATGATCCACATATGGTGGACCTGCCCAGCCATCGTCCCATTCTGGGAGATGGTAAACACCAAAATACGAGAGATATCAGACCCTGAGCTCCCACTTCAACCCCTACCCATGCTACTACATCACACCAGCATTTCGCTGCAAACATACAAAAAATCCCTCACTAGACACCTACTGACTGCAGCTAAATCACTGATACCCACCCTGTGGAAAAAACCGACTTCCCCCACCTTCCAACAATGGGTGGATAGAGTGGGAGAAATACATTCCATGGAGTCCATGACAGCAGCCCTCCGGGGCCATTCGGAGAAATGCCACCTAACCTGGACCCCCTGGATCCTATACACCGCGGCAGCAGGCTCAGCCTCATGAAAAACTTCGCTCCGATAAGTTACCGATGCCCTCTCCCGCCTTACCTCTAATCTTGCTTCCTCTTTTCCCCAGCTAGACTGCACCCGCCACCCCACCCCATATAACCCCCTCAGCCTCTTGACTTCTGCTTGACCAGACCACCCCACACCACGTACTTGACTGAGACATTTAATCCAAGAGAACATATACAGATGTTCCATACCAAACACGGATCCACAGAGGGACAGCAGATAGAACTCACAAAAGCGATATTAAGGGACAGAAACACACAAGATACCCTAAACGCCCAAAAATCTAATGGCCCATAAGCTAGATCCACCGCACAATAGACCCCACAGCTTTTAGCCCCAGAAGCAACCCAACAACACACATGCAATACCACCTGCTAGGCTCGCACACCCGCGGGACATATCTCTTACTCATGCTCCCCCAACCACAGAAAAGAACATTCCTTACAGGGCTCGTACACCTGGACACAGGTGGGACGGGACAGGACACCCTAGCCACAACATTTGAAAAGCCCTAAACAAACCCGCCGGGAAGACCCGCCACAAGCAGACCCACCCACACATACAGCCTCTACAAACTTGCACTTGGCTGGGCCCCACACCCCTCCCACGAATATCACGCCCTGAGCTGCAAGAAGTCCCAAATGGTTGGGGGTATGAGAATATCAAAGACATAGGACACTCACAGATACAGAACAGGTCGAATTGCACTTGATAATGGGTATACCCACAGCTCTCAACTACTGTGTGATCTATAAACACGGAAATGGGTATTGTTATGCTATTATGGATATCTATCACTGCATTGGTGCAATACAAATAACTGTTTTACTTCCCACCCTTTTCCCTTCTGTACACCCATCCTTTCAAAATTGTAAAACTGAATACATAAATAAAGATTGTCAAAAAAAAAAATATTAAAAATAAAGTATCAAATGAATTTAATATTTTTTATTATATCAAAATTGTGATACATTGGCACTGTTTCCCCAATAAATGATTTAAAGCTGAGAATTTTAATTGTCATAGATCCTGGAGTACGTTTCATTAGAGGATTTTTATTTCACACATTAATCACAAACTAATTATAAAAATATAATTTATTGTGATAATAATAATAAGTAACATGCATGACAATAATCACCGAATATTTAGGTATAACATATGTATACAATATGGCAGTGATTTAACACAGTTTACAGACCGCTAAATATCAACGGTTATATCAACATGTATGCAGTTTCCAAGAAGATTTCTGACAGGAAACTTCACTTTGAAATGAGCTTGCTAAACATTCCTTAACACAGAACACAGCATCTCAGAGCAGCACAGTGTAAAGCAATAAAAACTTTGGCTGACAGTCAGGGCCGGACTGGGAAGATAATTCGGCCCGGGCATTTTTTAATTACAGCGGCCCACTACAAAGGGGGCGGGGCCAGATAGGGTGTGTGCTGTGCATGTCAGGGGTGCAGTGTGTGGGTGCTGTAAGTGTTAGGGGTGCAGTGTCTGTGTGTGTCTGTGTGTGTGTGTGTGAGGGTGCTATAAGTGTTAGGTGTGCAGTGTGTGTGTGTGAGTGAGGGTGATGTGAGTGTGTGTGTGTGTGTGTGCTGTGTCAGGGGTGCAGTGTGTGTGAGTGAGGGTGCTGTGCATGTCAGGGGTGCAGTGTGTGTGTGGGTGCTGTGAGTGTCAGCGGTGCAGTGTGTGTGTGCTGTGAGTCTCAGGGGTGCAGTGTGTGTGTGTGAGGGTTCTGTGAGTGTCAGGGTGCAGTGTGTGTGTGTGAGGGTGCTGTGAGTGTCAGGGTGCAGTGTGTGTGTGTGTGTGTGTGCTGTGTGAGTGTCAGGGTGCAGTGTGTGTGTGAGTGCTGCATGTCAGGGTGCAGTGTGTGTGTGTGTGTGCTGTGAGTGTCAGCGGTGCAGTGTGTGTGTGTGCTGTGAGTGTCAGGGGTGCAGTGTGTGTGTGTGTGTGTGTCTGTAAGTGTCAGGGGTGCAGTGTGTGTGTGTGAGTGAGGGTGCTGTGTGAGTGTGTGTGTGTGTGTGCTGTGTGTCGTGGGTGCAGTGTGTGTGTGTGTGCTGTGAGTGTCAGGGGTGCAGTGTGTGTGTGTGTGCTGTGAGTGTCAGGGGTGCAGTGTGTGTGTGTGCTGTGAGTGTGTGCAGTGTGGTGTGCAGTGTGTGTGTGAGGGTGCTGTGAGTGTTAGGGGTGCATTTTGTGTGTGCTGTGAGTGTCAGGGGTGCAGTGTGTGTGTGTGTGCTGTGAGTGTCAGGGGTGCAGTGTGTGTGTGTGTGTGTGTGTGAGTGGTGCAGTGTATTGGTGCAGTGTGTGTGTGTGTGAGTGTCAGGGGTGCAGTGTGTGTGTGTGAATGAGGGTGCTGTGAGTGTTAGGGGTGTCTGTGAGGCTGATGTTAGTTAGGTGATTATTTCCCCCCTCCCTGCTTACCTTTAGCCTGGGAGGGGGATCCTGCTGCTGGGGCTGCCATCCATCCCTGGTGGTCTTAGTGGTGAGTGAACTCTAGCCTGTAAGGCTAGAGTTCACTCTCGCGAGACCCGGAGCGTTGCCATGGCAACGCTCCGAATCTCGCGAGAGGAACCCGGCGGAGCTGTTAGTTAAAGCTCCGCTGGGTTCCTCTCCTGGCAGGCTGGCTCCCTCCCTCTCTCCCCCGGCGGCCGCACTATCCTGCATGTGGGCCGGTGGGGAGATCTCTGATCTCCCCACCGGCCCTCCATGGACTACTGCAGGGCCGGCGTTCAGATAGCGCCGGCCCTGCAAAGACCGTCAGGAGAGATCCTGTGATCTCCCTGCCGGCCTCGGCCCCACGGCCACCGCGGCCCACCGGGCATTTGCCCGGTGTGCCCGATGGCCAGTCCGGGCCTGCTGACAGTCAAATCACACTGAATTCACTCATTCACTGCTGGCTACAATTTTGATAGGCAAGATATCCTTTAATATAGCAATTTTACAAATACAATATTTCTCATACTAGATCATTTGACCATTCCTATGTCCATCCAATAAGAATAATTCTAACCAGAATTTTTACCCTATGCAGAATTTTAACTTTCCTAATTAAGATTTACTATTTCTAAATTACGTAAACTAATATATCTGGATAATTGCCTGGTATTCTATTTTTAAAGTTAAAAGTGATATAGAGTTAATTGGTTCACCTGCAGGAATGGAATCACAAATTCTATATATTAATGAATCATGACTCCTTAATGTTGGAATTACCAGCTTTTATCCAAGTATGTTCTGCCTTTTAGTAAAATCAATTATTTGAAATTAATTTAATAAAACCAGTATAATTACTAGCTCTTGGTAGAATTTTTTTTTTTTTTTTCAGGCTTGGAGATGTATCCCAAAAATGGTGAATGCAGGTATAAGTATAGAGAATTGTGTGAAAATAGAAAAGTTTAGAATTTTAAAGTGTTTTAAAGTTAAGTGTTAGTTGGAAAATCTACAAAGAATTAGGTGTGTCCAGTTTTGGCTCCAGATGTCAGATATTAGCCCTCAGATGTTAGGTGTACGTCCCCCCAGAGAGTGTCTCTCTTTCCTTTGTCCTTAATTTTTAAAGGAGAGGTTCTCTATACTTCACTAGTTGATAGTAACCAATAGAGTAGGGTGGGCGCGTCTTCCCTACAGACTATCATCTAGATTTTGGTCAGTAGATGGCGCAATTACATCACAGAAAATTGTCAGATTCTTTTTCATTTATCTTTTTGTATAATGGGTTAACTGAATTTCGTGATGCAGTTGACGTCATCTTGGTTATCTTTATGGTTACCTATTCGTCAAAGACATGTCACTCTCCTGAGTATTTTGGTTCATTTTTTACCAGACAGGGCATCTAGTTTTCGTCATTAAATTAGCGTTCTAACACGTCCTAAACTCTTCTTCACCTCTCTATACAATGGAACTTTGTAAGATTCTGTAATTTTTTCTTTTAAAAAAAAAAAAAGTTAAATTAATTACTTGGTGTTATCTGTTATTGGTAATCCTGTGTCTGGTTTTCTTGTGTGAAACTGTGTATAGCACATAGTAATATAATTTATACCTGTCTATTACACATATTCCACTAGAAGTTAGTAAATAATATGACATTTCTTCATTGATATTCTATCCATGAATATTCTGTATTATTAACTTAGTACTATTTATATATGATTAATATAATAGTAAGTTATATGTGGATAGTGTGTGTATATATGTATGTATATGTGTGTATATAAATATATATAGTGTCTGGGTTGTTGCGTTCAAACCCCCCTTCGCTGCAGACATCATGTCTTATCTCTGCCAATGTTTACATTGGTTGCATTCCTTAGCTCAGGCTTTAATAAATAGTTACATAGAAGTAAAACAAATTCTGTCTTTGCATTGTGATACAAAATGGAGTCACTTCTGTTCTGATGACTTACAGTATACACTTAATTTCTGTCTTAACACAACATGTCTGCCAGTATAAATATACTGACATCGCGAGGCAGAGTGTCCAAATTAGAGTTCCAGACACTCAATGACCAAGTCGCGCTGCCGGCTTTCGGGAGACAAGATGGCCATGTTTTCCAGTGCATGTGTTGTTCGGTTATACGAACAGCAGCTGCCCAGGGAGAGCACTTAATCTTGTGCTTACTTTGAAGTTAAATGAGCCAGGGAGGTGTTCGGTAGATGCAGCTACTGAATGCAGGGAGAAAAAAATGTACTGGGGCCAGGTATATACAGGGCTTGTCACACTGGTAAATTGCCAAGTTGAGCATATCAAGCGATTATCCAGAGATGATATTGACCTATATGAATTTAGGGATAGTTAATCTTAATCAGAAAAGTTAATCCTCTGCTGTGTTAAAAACTTGTTTAAACTTGTTAAAACTTGTTTAAAAATATTATTTTGGTTACTGGTTGGAAAAGATTTTTTTTTTAATTGACTATTTATTTGTGTGAGAAATATTGCATCTTTTTAGTTGCAATGTTTAAGTGTTTAGCCTGTGAGAATTGTAGCCAACAATGAGTGCGTTAATTTGGTGTGATTCAGACAAGAGTCAATACAATGTAAAACAAAGATCTGCACATCAGTCAAGCCATAAGACGTCCTTTTCCCACAGAACTGATAGTCTAAGTTTTTTAGGACTTAAAGGTGTGCTGCTGTGCTCTGTGTTATGTTCTGTGTAAAGGAATTCTAAAAGCTGAAAAGTTTCCTATAGCATTGTGGATATAACTGTTAATTAAATTCTAGAGTAATTATTTGTAATTTGCATGTTTTAAACTGTTGTCATGTCTTGTTGTTATACCTAAATATTCACTGATATTGTCATGCATATTACATATTATTGTCACAATAAATATTTTTATAATTGGTTGTGATTAATATTTGAAATACAAACCCTCTATTAAATGTACTCCAGGGTCCATAAGAGTTAAAATAGTGGGTAACTCTTTGCTTTAAATCAATTAAAGGGAAACTGTGCCAAAATATCAACTTTTGATAGTAATAAAATGTGTGACATGTCATGATTTCCTTTTATTCCAGAAGTTTGGTCCTTAAGGTGGTTAAAGGAACACTGTAGGTACCCAGACCACTTCAGCTGATTATAGTGGTCTGGGTACAGTGTCCCTTTTTCACTGAGTACTGCAATATTATACATTCCAGTTCCAGAGATACTATAATGTAAAGCTCTAAGTCTGCCCTCAGTGGATGTCTACCAGGAGGTCTAATGAGCGTTCTGCATTTGCCACGCATGCATATTAGCGCCCACTGGTTGCTTGCTGTCATAGGGGCCAGGACCCAGCTGTTGTCAAAGTTGTGCGTTTCAGCTTCCTTTAGAGCCACCATCATGGTTTTATCTGTGTATCAGAATTTCACAACCAGGTCTCTGAGGCTTCGGGATCCAGAAAACACCATCTGCTTTTGGTTTGTTTGTACACCATTAGGTTCCCCACAAGTCTCCCCAGCAGGTGAGGGAGCTAAGCCACCGGTAGCTCCTCTGGTACACCTAGTACTTAAATGTTGTTGTGCCTTCTTGAGTCTAACAGCGCAGCAAAGCATTTGTTACAGAGCTCGTTTCTTTAATTGCCATACTTCTTAATGAAACTCTGCAATTGATTAAGCCTGTGCCCCGGTAGAGGTTTCCATCATTCACAAATGGCCTATCAGGTCCGTGAGATTGTCATGCAGCGCTGCTACGTTCGCTTGTATAGACTTTTGGAAATCAGCTAGCATTGTTTTAAGTATCGTCGTGGTCACCGGTGCTTTCTTCGATTGTGACTGAGGCGGTACTCCCCTAGTATCGACTGCTAGGCCCAGATCTTCAGAGGAATCCGATAAGTCCTCGAGGACGTTGGCCATCTTGGGCCCATATGTGCTCTTAGCCCTTTGGAAGAAATCGCCAATGTTCATGACGGTTTTGGGCTTGTCGACTTTGTTTATTTTTTTTTTTGTCTTATGCCCCTTTGAGTGTTACAGCTTTGGCTGGTATAACCTCAGAAAATATAAAAAAAATGTTTTTTAAATAATTTTAGAAATCTGAGAAAACTTTCTTGAATACAGCCAAGGTACACGCAAGACAGGGGGATAACCCCTAGTGGAAATGAATGCAAAACTATTAGGACGTGTACCTATGAATTTAGGGAGAAGACTAGTCCCCCTCTGATGAGCTAGGCGGGCGAAACGCGCGCGTCAGGGGCAGCACGGCTTTATACTATGCCGTTTCTCTTTCATTGATATTTCTATTTTCCTCTTTTAACTCTGATTTCTTCTAATCTCTCATTTAGTGGGGTTAGATATAGGTGCCCAAGAAGGCACGGGGGTGGAGCATTAGCCGCCGTGTCAGTTTTCTTCTCTATTAGCTCTGTGTCTAGCCGGCCGATTGTCTATAGCTATGCACTACTGCTAGAGTGCTGTTTGTCAGTGTGCTACACAGCACTGATATTCGGCTCTCTACTATTTCTCTCTAATTTAAATCTTGTCTCTGTCATCCTTTAGCTAAATTCCTATTTCAGCACTGGCTTCTGTGCATCGTTTTCATTAGATATTATAGCGCTTAAACCTAACCCCAGTGCCGGTGTTGTACCCTAGTCTACGATATATATGTAGCTCTATTCTAAGTCATACACTTTCGGCACGTTACCAGTACGCTATTCAGCATTTGTACTCGCTGACACGTATACTCAGATACACCTCTAGGGTGCAACATAGTTGCAGCGTGCTGTTTAACAATTTTGACCTGCCGACTCACTTACTTTTATTTTCACACATGTAGTGTATTTCTATATCTACATCACTATACCTATTAGTGAGATTGGTCACCCAGGTTAAATATCTATTTTTGGAGCTCCCACTACCGTGTTCTAATACAACGGTATATTATTGTTGGCACCTTTATATCTCTCTCCCCACTTCTGTGCGCACACATGCGCTATTACTGTGACATTAATGTGCTTAGAAATCAGAGGTTATCCTATTCCATGCCCACCGATACCGTGTTTTTAAACTCATTTCTGATGTTTTGTCTATTCTGTACATTTCACCTTTCATTGTTTTTAGCTATACATAATTGATTTTCAATAAATTTATTTTTTAACCCCGTGTTCCTTCTAGAATAACCTGTATTTGCTACAAAGGACCAGTATTCAAATAACCCCACAAAGGGCTTCCATTTGATAAAGCAGACACCTAGGGATATCTTATATGGTGTATATTGTGCCTTAACTTGTCACCATTTTTCACCAATTTATGTCAATGTTTTTGGTGAGGGGAATTGAATTTTTACATACATGTTGTATTTCTTGCATTTGATATGTACCACTGTCATAAAAATCCACAAATTATGCTCAGCTAAGTCTTCTGACTAAAAAAATATGCCCAATGTATGACCTAGACACTATTTTGTGAAGTTACAGTGCTGTAAAAGAGACATGACAAGTTCAGGTTAAGTGTGAATTTTCATGGAGGGTTTTTTATTCAAATTTTTTTGCTTATTAAATTTCTTAACTTTTTTTTTTTTTTTTTTTTTTACACATTTAACATTTTTATAAACTTTTTTTTTTTACTGTTAACCCCTAACTAGCAGTAAGGAGCACTAGCAGTAGGTTCCACAATTTTCCCATAACTCCCACCCAACCCAGCTAGTAAAATATATAGATTTAAAATATTTAAATTAATGAAATAAACTGAACCCCTGAGGGTTAAGAGAAATAAATTGCGAGAATGTGCTTCTCATACCTGCATTATATATTTCATATTATGTACTTTGTTAAACCGCTACAAGGGTTGCTGCCAACCTTGGTTGTTGATGTTCCTCACCATGATGCAATAAATGCTTTCTTGAAAGAAAACTTAACGTACACATAGAACGTGGAAGAGCAGGGAAGCAGATCGTGAGTCGCTGCAGCACCTGTGCTCGCTCTGACAGCCTGTCAGAGCGGTCACTGCTGCAGGGACAGCGCAAATCTGGTGCTCCAGGTCTGCCTCATATACCGAGCTAGACCGGAGGAGCGTTAAACCCACAATAGCGGCGATGCGGTCAGTCGTTCGTCATTAAGGGGTTAAAGTCGTCACCGTTCAGATTGTGTTGTCATGCACAAGCAGCAAGACGTTCCTGTATGTCAGTTTTCCAGCTTCTTCACTGACAAAAACACAACAAACCGCTCTCTGGAATCCAGAATGCTTTCACGCATGATGGTGGTAGAGCTTCTTTGCTCTCCTTGATCCTATGGTAACTCTACCTCCACTTTCTGCAACATCTGTGTTTTCTTTCTCTAAAAAAAATTCTCTCCTGTCTTGGGGTCTGCATCGTGTCGGGCACAAATGTTCTTCTGCAGCACTTAGAGGTGGATTGGCTCCATATAAATATGATCACATGAAGCAACTAAGCAATTTCTAGTGATTTACCATAACATTTTAACTTTAAAATAACACCTAAGAAATAAAGTAACAGGACAGATTGAGTGACCTCAGTCTGTTACAATATTATTAGATATACAGAGAAGAAAATAAGCACTTTGTCTTTAAAAATTCAAGCAGATGCAATATCCTGTAGAAAATGTCATGTGACTTGTTCCAAGTTTTTCAGGGATGAGGATGTGTTTGGGTAACAAGACTGCATGACAACCTGGAGCCACTACTATGTGTATTTATACATGGACTTATGTCTTGCATCTAAAACTTTATCCAAAACTAGGTGCCCTGTACAGAAACAAATCCTGCCTAAGCCCTACAGTAAAGAAAGATTGTACAGCAAGATTGTACTGTGTGAGGAGTCATTGACTATGGGGGTGTAGTATATGAATCTGCACCGTAATAAACTCAATGCATTGTATAACTCGTTCTGCCGATTTGTGCTACAATGTAATTACAGGACCCACCATTGTGACATGCTAAAAGAACTAAGCATGCTGCCGCTGGAATCCAGATGCACCCTTCATCTTTCCAGCCTTGTGTTTAAGAGCTTCTCGGGGAAGCTCCCATCCTACCTGAGCAGAAAACTCTCCACGGCTGTTCCCACCTCCTATAACCTCCGATCCAGTACCAGCACTTTAGTCTACCTCAATACAGAAATACAGATCCTTCTCCTACAGGGTGCCGCAATTGTGGAAAGACTTCCCGCACACTTTCAAATCTTCCCCAAGCCTAAAGTCCTTTTAAAGATCCCTCTCTATATACCTCAAAACAGAATGCACATGTCATGTTTGATTATATATTCCCTACCTGTTCTATGTTAAATTTTGTATATATTGTGTATTTAGAATTGTTTTTGTATTTTATTGTACCATAATGTATCAAAGCAATGTCTTGTGGGCCCAGGACATACTTGAAAATGAGAGAAATCTCAATGTATCTTTCCTGGTAAAATATTTTATAATATTTAATAAATAAATTCACTCTCCAAGAGGCTGCACTCACCTGAACATGCACACATTATAGGGGGCTGCTGGGGCCAACTCATACAACATACAGCGCACTCATTCACTAAACAGCAGTTTCAAGTCTCACAGAATGTTAGTTTTATTTAAAAAGACCTCAGCAAGGCAAAATATAATGGGTGTTTATATACCGTATATGGTCATACCTTGAATAAGCCTGCCACAACATCAATGTATGCCATTTTAGGCAGGTCCTTCTTTCTCTCTATAAATATACACACTCAGATTTGAAGTAACTGTGCAGGACACTTTAGTTCAGTATTTTAGACTTGATTTTCATCTATATTTGTACCTATAATGTTGTGGGGACAAAAATAGCACCCATTCTGTGGAATGGCTCTTATACAGTTGACTCAAGTGTAAATAAACCAGGGTTGCATTTCAGTTTTGTAATAAATGAGATTTAAAATGGTTCAGTGATTTTATTTAGTTGAACACATTGTATGGTTTTACAATCTGTATTCCTCTTCTCCCCTCCCCATCATGATAAAATAACTTCAATTTTGGTTGAGGATTTCACAGCATATATATGCATTTCACAAGCACTGCAAGAACAGCCAGCAAAGTGTTAATTGGCTAACAAAAAATGCTGGTAACATGGCTTTCGTAGTAGAGATCAACCTTGCTATAAGAGTACAGTTTGGTGTTGCTTTTTAACCCCCCACATGCCCCGAACGTTACACTGAGGGTGAGGATAAACAAACACAGGAATTATATTGCTGTATACTGATACAGAAGTGAAACCCAGGAGAATTTGAAGTATAAAAGTCAAAAATACTAATTTCATCCCTTGTATAATTAATGGATGTTTATACTGAAAAGTTTTAAATGTAACAATATGTATTCAGTTTTTATACGGATTTATGAAAATATAGGTTCTGTTCTATAGCAAGTTGGTGTAAAAGTTTACAGTTACAAAATTCAAAGTGTTAGTTTATGAATATTGTAAAATATGCCCTTTTGTAATCTAGCAGGTTTTTTCTTAAATTTGGTTTGTTAGGGCTTTAAGAAACCAATGAAGTGTTAATTTGTTTTGATCTTGCCATTTTTGTGCAATCTTACATAACTGGATCAATATTCTTATGACAAAGGCAGGCTTATATCACTGTGGGCTATGTCACAAACAGTACAGGCAATATGATGTTTTACAATGGAACAAAAATTACCTGGATTTATTTGATTCTATCCATATGCTGTAACCTCTCACATCACCTCTTTGTAAATTCATAGTATGTCATAATTCTACCTTTTTGCTCTCAGAAAAGTGATATTAAAATGATTTGGTCATTAGGTGTGTGAGTTAGATATTTTTATTTATAAAAATCACACACATACATTTCATTTGCTTCACAGTGTTCCTTCAACTGTGAAAAAAATGTGTTAATAGGGTGAATGGGATTTCATTGGGCAGAGTTTAAAGAGGGCTCTACGATTAACCGTTGAACACTTCATAAGTCATTTATAAAATATTTAGCCCTGGGATTTTTTTAGACTTTAATAGAACTAATTTTTTTAATTTTTTTTAAAAAGCGGTTACTTATGGCACTGAAAATGGAATGATCAGTGGCCAAACAGTTATCCAACAGCTAATGGGATTTTGCAATGCCTTCTAAAAACTAAAACACTATGTACAGCTTGATAGGATTATAAATAGATAATGATCCTATCAACACCTAGATTCTTTTAAAGAAAAGAGGGGGGAAAAAAACCAAAAAAATACTTATCTACATGTAGGGTGGAGAATGGTATTTTGCAATATGTACAAAGAAGAGTTACAGATCTCAACCTGTAAAGGAAGTGCTGTTAAAAATATATAAAAAAAACAAAAAAAAAACGACATGACAAATTAATCTGAAAGAAATAAAAAAATTTAAATTCAGTCAGTTGGACCAGTTTAAGAATTGATATATCACCGACTTCAGCTTAGCAGACACATATTGTTTTTCTATGCTGCTGTAACAAAGGATGTCCAAGCTTCTTCTGGCCTCTGAGGCTGCGTCGCATAATGACCCTGCCTGCATTCCTGCGTTTTGGGGTGACAGAAGAGCTCTCAGGCTGCAACATCCCACTCCTGGTTAAGTTTCTCTTATGTTTCTTCAGAGCAGGGCCACTGTTTGATTCCTCCAGCGTCCTTTTTAAGGAAGCCAGCCTTTCCGTTTCTAATTTCTTGTTATGGCTGCTGCTTGGCATTTTTGCAGTTTTTACCTCAGAGGCAGCATTAGGAGAACTACTTGGAAAGAGACAGTTTGCTGGGGAGTCTAGAAAACATTGAGTGCAGCTGCTGTTTTCCTCAGACTTTCTAGAGTCCCCCTGCAGCGAAGAGGAGCAGGATGCAACAACTCGAGATTTTGCGGATTCGCTGCCCCATTTAAGATAGCTCTCAGAAAATGCATTTCTTCTAACAAGTGTTGGCAGGGGCTCAGAGAATGTCAGTCTCCACCAGGGATCTTCCTCCAGAAACTAAACATGAAAAAAAAAGATATATAATCAATCTCATTTGCACATAATGTTACAATTTTAGAACAATGAAGGAATTTGTCAACACTAATAACACTAAATTCTGTAAAACAGAACAATGCTCTTCTAGAACATATAATCATGCCAGTTCATTGACATCACAAATTGTGAGAAAAAAAAAAAAAAAAGTTCTAGACTAACCACAAAAATGTGAGGATACTGCTCCGGAGAGTTTATTTTGCATTTGTCAGGAAGGATGGGGGGGTGGGGAGGGGGAGGGGGAGGAGGATTAAACTCTTAGAAGGAAGCTCCAACTGCATCCACTCAATTAGAAAACCTAACAAAATGTACAGCCATTTTTAGTTATACAGCACATTCAAGAGGACTACGATAATAGGCAAATGATGGATACAAGTCATGTGAAAACATGTTTACCTTACACATTGTGAATGTCTCAGAACCTCTCTTCTGACCCAAATACCAACTCACCATCCAAAATAAGAGAAATTGCATTTGTTCCTAATTTGGCACTACTTTAGTTATTTACTATAAAGCATACTGAAAGGGTTACTCTAACCTCCATGACCACGTCTGCTTTTAGAAGTGATCATGGAGGAAGTAATCTGTTACATGCAGAATTTTAGCTTGAAACACTGCACATACAGTGATTTCCGCACTTCTGTGCCAGGAACTAGTTACAATCCCAGTACAAGTGACTTGGGCAGGCCAGAACTCTGGACTGCCAAATGTTAGCTCTTGGCAAAAATTACAGATGTCATTAGCACAGTCTATGTGCTGGCAAAGGACATAATCAGTTCTTGCAATTCATCTTCCTATGCAATACTAGCCATATCTTACACCACTTCTGCCTTCCTACATTATATTACTTTACATGTACTTTTCATGCTCCTTTCCCTCCCTGACCCCTTTTGGCATTCCCCATTTCATCCTTCCCCTACTGGGCTCATATTGCAACATTAGTGGAGCTCGCTATGCCCATATTTGCTTCTGAATGAGAAGAATTTAAACACTGACCCAGAGGAGGATGACATGGCATTGACAACAAAAGTAACATAATTTGAACAGAACATGTCAACCAAGATTTGATTGAAAAAATTTTTTGGAGGGGGTAAGGGAGTGTGCAACGTTCAAGTATACCATTTTATTTTTTTGTCTGCTGCATTTCTGATCAGAGGCCAACTATTTCATTGTCCTTGTATGTACATTATACAGTGATGATAAAGTTAAATCTGAATCTTAACCAGTGTGCACTTTCAAACTAACAGGAAAAGGAAAATCAGACTACCGTATTTTTCGCTCCATAAGACGCACCTCACCATAAGACGCACCTAGTTTTTAGAGGAGGAAACCCAGAAAAAAAAAATATTCTGAACAAACTGTTCCATAGTGTTTCTTACTATGGGACAGTTTGTTCAGAATATTTTTTTTTCTCCTCTGTCCCATAATGATCTTTAACCCCCCTTTCCTCTGTCCCATAGTGTTCTTTAACCCCTCCTACCCTTGTCCATTAGTGTTCTGATCCCATAGTGTCCCCCCCTCCCCTTCTCCCATAGTGTCCCCCTCCCCTTCTCCCATAGTGTCCCCCCTCCCCTTCTCCCATAGTGTCCCCCCCTCCCCTTCTCCCATAGTGTTCCCCCTCCCCTTCTCCCATAGTGTCTCCCCCTCCCCTTCTCCCATAGTGTCCCCCTCCCCTTCTCCCATAGTGTCCCCCTCCCCTTCTCCCATAGTGTCTCCCCCTCCCCTTCTCCCATAGTGTCTCCCCCTCCCTTCTCCCATAGTGTCCCCTCCCTTCTCCCATAGTGTCCCCCCTCCTTCTCCCATGGTGTCCCCCCTCCCTTCTCCCCATGGTGTCCCCCCTCCCTTCTCCCATGGTGTCCCCCCCTCCCTTCTCCCATGTGTCCCCCCACCCCTCCCCCCATGGTGTCCCCCCTCCTTCTCCCCAGTTACACCTCCCATGGTGTCCCCCCCTCCTTCCCCAGTGTCCCTCCCTTCTCCCATGGTGTCCCCCCCCTTCTCCCATAGTGTCCCCCTCCCCTTCTCCCATAGTGTCTCCCCCTCCCCTTCTCCCATAGTGTGTCCCCCTCCCCTTCTCCCATAGTGTCCCCCTCCCCTTAACCCATAGTGTCTCCCCTCCCATTGTCCCATAATTACTTACCTGTCTTGGAGCGTGGGCCGGCTTCACAGCGCGCTCCGCGGTCCAGGAACTTCTATTTCAGGTTCCGGTTTCCGGCGGGACTGAAAGGAAGTGTGCACACTGAGTGTGCACTTCCTTTCAGTCCCGCCGGAAACCGGAACCTGAAATAGAAGTTCCTGGACCGCGGAGCGCGCTGTGAAGCCGGCCCACGCTCCCAAGACAGGTAAGTAAATCTTCACATTCGCTCCATAAGACGCACAGACATTTCCCCTCACTTTTGAGGGGGAAAAAAGTGCGTCTTATGGAGCGAAAAATACGGTATTTAAAAATGTACTCCATTTCTTACTGCTACACTTGTGGGACTTCTGTTGGATGAGATGCGTAATATATGTTGCTTTGGACAGTAAGTAATCTGGTAAGGATGCATCCCCCCTCCCCCCCCCCATGAGATAGCTGATCTGTATGGGGATCCCCCTAAGTGATGGATTGTCTGCAAAGAGCAGAAGAAAGGTAAAGTAAGAGAAAGCAGAAATGTCCAGAAAGGGTCTGCAAGAGGGAGCAGAAAGGTAAAAGCAAAAAGAATCAGAAGCTGCACAAAGGTAAAGTAAGAGAAGGAGCAGAAAGTGATCAGAAAGAGAAAGGAGCTGAAGGGTGCAAAAGAAGCAGTAAAGGAGCAGAAGAAGCTAAGGAGGAGACAAGACCGTGTCAGAAGAAAAAGAAGACTGTCAAACACCATAGTTGTGAAAACATTATTCACGCTGGCTTTATGTGAGAATGAGCATGTCCTTTCCCTTTTCAAAAAGGGACCAAGCATGGATGTCATTACAATTTTGAGTAAAACAAGGATGGATACAAACTGACTAAAAATTAATTTATAAAAATCTGATCAGATCGTTTTTAAAGGAGCACTATAGGGTCAGGAACACAAACATGTCTTAAATAAAACCACCATCTAGCCCCCCCATGCCTCCCTAAATATAGTAAAATCTTACTTGTATTCAAGTCTGCAGCTGCTTATTTTGTCCCTGTTTACTTCAGACCTGCCCACTGCCTGCTTACATCAGCAGAAGTGGTAGCCTGATCCAATCACAATGCTTCCCCATAGGATTGGCTGAGACTGACAAAGAGGCAGATCAGGGGCAGAGCCAGCATGATTCAAACACAGCCCTGGCCAATCAGCATCTCCTCATAGAGATGAATCTCTATGAGGAAAGTTCAGTGTCTGCATGCAGAGCCTAAAATGCATCCAATCACCTCAAATCACTAAATTGGTCATCGTGCTATATTTTAGCTGAGCAGGTTCACAAAGTGCAATCCCAATAGCAGACAAGTTAGGTTGCAGTTGGGCTGGGCATATAATACTACAAAGTAACAGCTCAGCCAGACAAAGTAAAATTTTCTATTAAAAAAAAAAAACAAAAACAAAAAACAAAAAAAAAAAACCACAAAGAAGTGAAAATTGGAGACTGCCTCTATTTGATTCATTAAAAGATCACTATAGTGTCAGGAAAACAAACTTATTCCTGGCACTATAGCATCCTTAGGACCTCCCCACCCTTAGGGTTAAAACCCCTTCAGCTACTTCCCTTAATCCAGCGCCGGTGACCTCTCCTCCCCTGCCAGCTCCCGAGTGGAGCGTAATGTGCAAGCAGGGCCAGAGCTGCGCGCGCATTCAAACCGTCCATAGGAAAGCATTTCTCAATGCTTTCCTTTGGACGTTCTGCAGGCGAATTTCACATCCAGCATCAAGGAAACGCCTCTAGCAGCCGTCAGGAAGACAGCCACTAGAGCAGGCATAGGCAACCTTCCGCACTCCAGATGTTTTGGACTACACCAAACATGATGCTTTGCCAGCACTATGGGTGTAAGAGCATTATGGGGGATGTAGTCCACAACATCTGGAGTGCCAAAGTTTGCCTACCCCTGCACTAGAGGTTGGATTAACCCTGCAATGTAAACATAGTTTCTCTGAAACTGCTGTTTGCATCTGAAGGGTTAAAACCTGGGGGACCTGGCACCCAGACCACTTCATTGAGCTGGGTGACTTAAGCACAACAATTGCTACACATGTGCCGCAGGTACCTGATGCTTCTCAAGATTTAATCTAAAACCACAAATAAAGAAAATATATATATATATATATATTATATATATATATTATATATATATATATATATATTTTCTCTCTCTATCACCTTAGTGTTCCTTTAAACTATACCAGTACCTAGATATTTCGAGGTACAGGGACAGATTTATACGGTTTTGGATTGACGATAGCTGGAGCTCTTCCTGTCCTTATCTAGAAGCATTAATAATGAAGACTTTACAGTTCAAATATCTATATTCTGTTGAACATGAAGTAACAATTTCATGCATAAAGAGTAATTTTGGAGAAAAGCTCTAAAACAGCAATAACAGTGCATTGGTTTCTTTGGAAATTGAATCCCTAATAACATTTAATGCCCAAATTTCTTTTTATTCATAACTTCCATAGTTAACTGCTAGTGTGAATGCCTAATACACTGACATGTACATAAAGTTAACGAGTTAGCAGGTTTTATTGGTAATTTCAACAAGATGATACACAATGAGCACATAAAATGGTATAAAAACAGTGTTTAGAAATGTGTGCATTACATTAAGCTAGAAGTGTTTTGCTAGTGTGATTTTAAAAAGCCAGCAAAACAACATAACACTGGTCTGTAATACAGAAAAACATAAATTACAATTTCTGCAATAAATATATTTTTTAAAAAGCTGCTGCCTTATAGACAAAACAGCCATGTCAAAATGTGATATATTGACAGCTCCCTGAAATAAAGTGCAAATTGTTAGGAGGGTAAAAAATTTTTTAAAACCTTGGCCCCGCATAGTCTTATCAGCATGCGGGCTATTGTGCACCAATACTATGAATGGCATTTTATTGAGAGCTATCCTTAAAGGACCACTATAGTGCCAGGAAAACACTTGTTTTCCTGGCACTATAGTGCCCTGAAGGTGCCCCCACCACTCAGTGAGAAATTAAATAGGCAAAAAAAAAGAAAAAAAAAGTGCATTGATTAGGAAAACCACCACAAAACATAATAAATAACTGCACCCCTTTTGTATCTACTCCATAAGAGATCATTGAGCAGTTTGACAATATCCAAGAGATCGGACACACAAACTTGTAGCATAATAGCGGCAATGGTCTGTAGTGTTATGGTGTTCAGGGTGCTCCTTTAAAGTACAAAAATGTTTGCAACTCCAAGACATAGGCCATGTTCATCATTAGCAAATGTACACCAAACCCTGTTTTGTTCCAACGTATTAACATACCTCTAAAATCATTTTTATTGCTACAAAGGTTCCCAGCTCCATCATGTTTTCCTAGACACACAGATTATACATTATAAAGGAAATTGTTCTGCTGTAGTGTGTAGAAATAAAACGCTTCTGGAGGAAGATTGCACTAATCACTGAGGAATCATGTAGCATATGAATTCAACATTGTTTAAGACACTACTTGTTAAGTGCTACCTGTAAACATGTATAAGTGGTATGTGTTCAAGAAAACATGGTAAACCTGACAATGCTAGCTGCCCACATAATGAAAGAAATATTGTGAAAGAAATATTGTAATAAAAATAATGGAGTAACATAAGCTTGAGGGCACAGTTTTGGTATCTGCTTGATAAATTTTTAGTATTAAGAAAATGTAAACATTTTACATATGCTAATGTTGCAGCTTTAAAGGAACACTATAGTCACCTAAATTACTTTAGCTAAATAAAGCAGTTTTAGTGAATTGAGCAGTGAAATTGCAGGGGAATGATCTATACACTGTCATTTAGGAGTTAAATCACTTTGTTTCTGTTTATGCAGCCCTAGCCACACCTCCCCTGGCTATGATTGACAGAGCCTGCATGAAAAAAAAAAAACTGGTTTCACTTTCAAACAGATGTAATTTACCTTAAATAATTGTATCTCAATCTCTAAATTGAACTTTAATCACATACAGGAGGCTTTTACAGGGTCTAGCAAGCTATTAACACAGCAGGGGATAAGAAAATTTTAAACAGAACTTGCAATAAAGAAAGCCTAACTAGGGATCTTTTTACAGGAAGTGTTTATGGAAGGCTGTGCAAGTCACATGCAGGGAGGTGTGACTAGGGTTCATAAACAAAGGGATTTAACTCCTAAATGGCAGAGGATTGAGCAGTAAGGCTGCAGGGGCATGTTCTATACAACAAAACTGCTTCATTAAGCTAAAGTTGTTCAGGTGACTATAGTGTCCCTTTAATATTTCACAGCTAACAAAATATTGCATTACCTCTCTTTTCTCCAACTCTCTTAATTCAAACGACTGAAGTTTATCAAAGTTTTCACATATTTATATGCAGCGCCAGTCTATTGTGTATTATTTTTGCCAAAGTTACAGATTCTTTCATGGATGTTAATAATACAGCATTTATTGGGATTTTTTCACAAGAGATTTTGTTAAACTAATGGCAACAGGCAGCTTACATACCTAGAGGACAGATTAGTAAAGAATGTACACAAACCCAACAAACTTGTTTAGGAGAATTGCCTAGTAATCACCAGAATAAGAGTGGTGCATAATAACTGCCAAATAATTGTCATTATAATAAACAGAAAGGTGATGGTGGACAAAACAACATTTCTACATGAGTGCAAGGACTGTCAAACCCTTTACACTTCCCACAACAGGCAGGATTAGATCTCATGTAATCCCAGTACTTATACGGTCTGTTGTCACGTTTTAAAAAGCAGTGCCGCATTAAAGGAACCCTCCATTGCAAAAATAAAAATCACTTTAGTACATATACCTACAATAAAAACAAATGCAAAAGCTGCAGATCTCTTGTCTGGAGCCTCGACAAAACTACTCCAGTCATACTACTCATCGAAAAGCCTTTGTGCTGGAACAGTGAGCACACACATGCAAGAGGGGCTTTCCAATAAACTATAATACAGCTTAGCCAATCTGCCATTCTAGCACTAAATGGAAGAGCAAGGAATTTCCCTGGCTGGCTGACAGATCAGTTAGTGTTCGTCCCCTTAATTGTTAAAGTGCTGATTTCTATAGGAAACAGCACTTATAGAAACGGTCACAAATAAATTCCAGTCACACAGTGTTCCTTTAAGATAAAAGTACCATGGCTCGGGGCGGAGCCTGACAGCCAAGCTGAGCGGTCGCACCTCAGCAGAGCTCCTGCCACATAACCTGAAAAACAAGCAAAACCCTGCAAATTTCAAGCTTTTTACACTCCAGACACTGGGGCTTAACATCGAGACAAGGCATAACCGAGCAGGGGACCGCAAAATGCGACCGATTCCAGGGGATGGACCTGAGGCCTACCTGCGGCCTACTCAGGAAGCATGGGGGAAGACGACCGTTCCCTCAGCCGACTGTAGCCTGTAACAAAGGAGGTCTCTCCGGAACACTCCTCTCTCCCCCCCCCCTGCCGGTGAGGGATATCCCGGCAACCAAAGCATGTGGATCAGGACGGAAAAATCGAGTGCAGCCACCTTGCACCACCGGACCGCTGACACAAGGCATGGCGGAGACCACGTGGATCCCGGCATCCAAGCCCAGCTTGCCTCCACTGTCGGAGCGGATAGACCGCCTATTTAACGATTTCTGGGCCAAACTCGCCAGCCGCGGAGACACCCGGGCACAAGTCCCACCGGCATCAGCCACAAAAGGCATTACACAGCAGCCTGCGGCTCCGGTGCAGAACCCGAGAACGATCGAGATAGCAGGGGGTGAGAGGCGGAAGAAACGTCGTAAGACCCAGCGCCCAACTCTTAGGCTACCGGTGAGCTGCCCAAAGCCTCAACGGAGACGATCTCCAGGGCTGCCCCATCACCACCCCTCTCACCCGCGAAAAGTCCGCTCAAAGAACTGGCCTAGCACACTCAGGCAGGTTCCATATCAGAACAGCAGCCCCCCCGGGCTAAAGGCACACACGGGACTCCCGACCACTCACCACTCCAAGTCATCAGGGAACATGGAGACAGTACGGAGCCAACTCGATGCCCAAGGAACGGGAGTGCTTGGTCCACTCACCCCCCGAGAGGCGGCAAAACATATGGCTGTGACATACGCCTAGCAGGTGTTGGCTGACCAGGACATTTGAAATCACAGATGAGTCATTCACTCTATGCCTCAAACAGTCCCTACTTGTTATTAAGGACGTTTTCCTTGTTCCACTGAGAAATATAGTTTTACACATATGCTCATAAGCTATGTCCTACAACTTACACGCTAACATACTGCAATTATTATGTACCCCTATTGACTAACAACACTAGTATACACATGTGCCAAGCTTTTAACAAAGCACAACCTCTACACACATTTTCTAGGGCTATGTATAAGAACAACGTTCAGCCTGCATAACACTCCATAGCCTCAATAGACTTAGCATGCTCCTACCTTCCTGTATTAACCCATGAAACTAGGCAAAATTAATATGACACACAACTGTTTCTCTATGTCTATGTCTTTAATTTGCTATTACTACTAAGTTTACGATATTATCTTGTTTATATAACTACTTTAAAAAAAAAAAGTGCAATGTCGTTAATGCCATGTGATTAAGAATGTATGCAAACTCGACTGTACCAGCTATTGTGGCAGTACAAATTCGCTTGTTACCCTCATGCACGAACAAAAATAAAGAATTATAAAAGTACCATGGCTCAGTATATTTTAAAATACCTGCATGCAGAAGACTACACATAAATCTCTCTTCAGTTCTGTATCATGTCATTAAATCTATCCAATACAGAAATGTAAGCAATCAATATAAAAAAGTCTGTAAAACCTTATGGTATTACCATGGTGTACCAACACATAAAAACCACTATCCCCCTACATCAGGGTACTGCAGTACATAAGCTGTTAAAAAGATTCAGGAGTCTTTTTTTGTAAAAGTATACACTTGAATTAGACTGTTTTTTGTATATAACCAAGCACTGGTAGGTTTTAATTGTTCTTTACCTTGATGGGCGGTGTTGAACACGGTGAGGAAGACATTAAATACATGTCCTGACTGTTGTACACTGGACTCTCCGACAAGTTTAAGAATACCTCCTCATTTGTGCAGCACCTCTGCTTTTCCGTTTGAGAACAGATGCTTATAACTATAGCACTGGTGTTGTCTGCCCGCAACATGCGATGTCGCCATTGGGTCAGTGCTCGATTTACCAGCATTTTCGCTAAGGACTGTCCACATTCTCCCTAAAAAACAAAAACACACACAAGTAAAGCTATACGTGAAAATTACCTTAGTAATAGTCACCAAAACAACTTTAGCTTATTGAAGCAGTTTTTGAGCATTGATTAAGCCTCTGAAGTTTCACTGCTCTATTCTGCCATTTAGGAGTTAAATCACTATTGTTTCTGTCCATGCAGCCATAGCCACTACTCCCCGGTTGTCTTCTATCCACAGTGCTGCCAGCAGAGGGACTGCCTGAACGGACAGGCAGTCCCAGTTCTGGTGAAAAAGTAAAAAATAAAATGAATAAATTAAAAAATATATAACGTGTGTGTGTGTGTGTGTGTGTGTAAAAAAAACCAGTAAAATTACACACACATATTATAAAAAATAAAAATAATTACAAATAAACAGTAAAAAAAAAATTTAAATTTTTTATATATGTAATTTTATTCTAAATGTATTTTAATATGAATATATATTTATATTAAAATATCCCCTTAACGACCGTGGACGTACTAGGTACACCTGACAAAAAACGGTTGTTAAGGACCGCAGACTTACCTAGGACGTCAGCGGCAAATAGGAGCCCTAGACTGACTATCAGTCTTTCCAACCTATTCGTTCTGCGACCGGGTCATAGGAACGGAACCCAGTCGGTAAGTGAAGAGTGTCTATAATGTATATCACTTACCGACTGGGTTCCGTTCTTACGACCCGGTCGCAGAACGAATAGGTTGGTAAGACTATGATAGCCAGTCTAGGGCTCCTATTTGCCGCTGACGTCCTAGGTAAGTCTGCGGTCCTTAACAACCGTTTTTTGTCAGATGTACCTAGTACGTCCACGGTCGTTAAGGGGATATTTTAATATAAATATATATTCATATTAAAATACATTTAGAATAAAATTACATATATAAAAAAAATATACTTTTTTTACAGTTTATTTGTAATTATTTTTATTTTTTATAATATATGTGTAATTTTACTGTGTGTATATATATATATACACACACACACACACATATATATACACACACACACACACACCTCTCAAAATACACTTATAATGAAATCATATATATGCATTATATATTACAAAATGCTTTAATTATAATATATCATACATATACAAGAAATAAAAAAGTGTGTGTGATAGAGATATAGATAGATAATTATATATATATATATATATATATATATGAGATAACGTTTTATATAGAATATAAATTGAAAAACAAAAAACTAATAAAAACACTAACTTTGACCAGGGTTTGTGACTAAGTGGCTACTACAAAAGACTGTGCATACCCCATTTTGAACACCCTGGGTTGTCTAAATTTGAAAATGGTATGCCATGATGGGGTTAATTTTCATTCGTGGGCTGCTATAGGGTCTCAAATGCAACATAAGCCCAGCAAAACAATCTGGTAAATTTCAATGCGCAAATATGGAAAAGTGGAAAGCCCTACATTTAATGTGTTTTTTGTTTTTAAAAAAAAAAAAAAAAATGTACAACATATTTAATTTTTTTATAGTTAATGATATGATGAAAATAATGGTATCTTTAGAAAGACCATTTAATGGCGAGAAAAACAGTATAGAATATGTGTGGGTACAGTAAATGAGTAAAAGGAAAATTACAGCTAAACACAAAAATCACAGAAATGTAAAAAGAGCCCTGGTCCTGAACGGTAAGAAAACTGAAAAACGGTCTGGTCACTAAGGGGTTAAAATAAAGAAAGTGTAAACATTAGATAATACTTTACAGGAAGTATGTAGGAGGGCTGTGTAAGCCACATGCAGAGAGGTGTGACAAGGGCTGTATTAACAAAGTGATTTAACTCCTAAATGGCAGCGAATAGTGTAGTGAGACTGCAAGGGAGCGGGGCACAACTTTATTCCAGAAAATCTCCTCACAGAAGCTTGTTCGCCTTCAGTAAGATTCAGTATTGATGATATGTGTTACAACAAATGGTTATAGCACAAGAACCTACTATACACATTTAATTTACCCCATAGACTTAGTCAATGTTATAGAATAAACCATATCTCTTTTAATGCACATCTACTCACTGTTGTACAAGCTTTTTCCTGTTCCTGACACATAGAGACTGCGTCCTGCGCAGACACCATGTTCCAGAGTCCATCACTGCCTATGATGACCAACTTGTGTTTCTGGGGATCAATGGTATGCACACTTGTATCAGGCTCTGGAGATACCACAAATTCACCACTGTAAAAATCATAGCTCCAGAGATCACCTGACAAAAATAAGGAAAAATACATTGGAGACTCCTTTCAATTAATTATATCGTTACATACTTGTTAAACCTGTTAGAAAAACAAACTGCTATTTTGGGTTCTCTTGTATTGAAACCAAAAATAGTAAAAGTTTATTTGTCTGTACATAATTTTAGTGGTCCTTTGTGTGATGTACCATTAATGCTTCATGTAGTAATTTAAGCCTAGGGAAATAGTATTAAGCCATTTTGATTTTATGCAGGATATTACTGCATATGTACAATTACGCATATATGATTTTCTGTTATGTACATCTTAAAAAATACGTACACGATTGAGTAGATGATTGCTGTGGCAAATGTACTGTAATATACCCACTATCTTGCAAGCCACAGCCTGTCGAAAGAATATAAATTCAAACAAAACCAAGCTTTTTACAAGCCTGGACACTCAACCCATTTAGATAATAGCTCTGCAATTTGTATGGCTTCTCACTAGAAAGTGGAGGGGGGTAAATTAGATACATTTTCTAATTTCTGCATACTTCCCAGACTCAATCTCATCATTAGCTCTGATGATCATGGAGGGCCAATTAATACAAGACTGAACACCGCACAAACATTTTTACAATTATTTCTCCTTACAGAAAGGAAAAGCACTGGTTTTTCATGACTGCACTTGTGTGCACTACAACATGTGCTTCTGAGAAATGCTTATGGAGAGGGCAGAAATATATTTCCTTATTAAGCCACATAAGGAACAATAGAACTCACAAAACAGAATGCCTGCTTTTTTGTATGTATGTATGTATACACACACACACACACACACACACACACACATATATATACACATATATACACACACACACTTTAAGAAAAGCACAGCAACAATGTGCATTGTAAAGCTACAATTACACTTAAATCAAGGCTAATGCAAAAGCACCTTTTTGTACAGAAGAGGAGGAAAATTGGAGAAAAAAAAAAAGTGTATATATCCATATCTACCTCTCTCTCGGGCATGTTTAATTTACTTGAAGTTATATAGGTCTTTCAAAATGCATCACTTACCAAGTGCACGAGCCACTGCCAGGAAGGGAATTTGGTCAATTACTGTGCTTCGCCTCACAGGACCGTTGTGTGTCAAGCGAGGCCTTTTCCATACTACACGATTCACACCAGATTTGTTAATTACACTATTGAGAAAATGTAAAGAGTTATCAGTAGAGAGTTTGTATTCCTGTGATTGGTTTAAAGCAATGTAGTCTACATGGCTACTGTTGCATTATTCATTTATAAAAATAAAATAAAAACACACACACAAAAAAAAAAAAAACACCCCACAAGTGATCAAGCTATTTGAATACAAACGTGTGTGTAAACTTATGTACTACATTACTATATAAACAAATTGAACTACAGAAAAAACTTACAATACTGGAGCGCTTAATATACACAGTTCTACAGGGGTAAAGTAGAGTTATTTAACAATTGTGTATTACACAGTATCTCTTTAATTGCCTGCTACCACACTTCAAAGTGATCCCTTCAGCACATACAAAAAATACACTATAACACTATAATCTAAACAAATTGATTTAACTCCTAAGTGACCAAGAATTGAACAAGGACACTGCAGGGTTAAGCTAAAATGGTTTTGGAGCCCATAGTGTCCCTTTACGTAGAAACTAGTAAATCATGCACAATATATACAGTACATTTATTTAAATAAACATATCCAACAATATTCGATTGAGGCCTATATCAGCAAACTCCATAAGTAAAAAAGACTTCCAGTTTGTTTAAAGACAAGAATACCGACACATATTGTGGAGCAGATTAGCAATCATTACTAGGACTCCATTGTGTTATCATTATGAATCATTGGATGTTATGTTTAAAAATTGTAATGGTGTGAAAAGTGGTCTAGTGCATAGAGGAACCCAGCAATAGCATTAATTCCACAATTACAGAGGTATGAGGTTAATTTTACTACATGAAGGAATTCCGCCATTGCTCCTTAGGGGACTGATTAAGTTTGCAAATTAAAATGATTTACACACACAGACTTTAAGAACAGATACAAATGATGTGCATTGTTATATAAGAATAAAAACTCACCTGCCACCAAGTCCCTCAATCCTCTCTCTTTCTCTGGGAAGCTCAGGCTTGTGGTCCTGTGTTACCTCCAAAGCCTTCATCGAATCTTTGGAGTTCTGCTGCACTCCAAAGACAACACCTGAATCCCCCACGTGTGCCACATACATTTTGTTGCCACGGATAATGACAACACTTGCTGTAGTTCCAGAGGTGCTGGGAAGGCCTGTCATTGTTTTGGGCCATTCAGCTATAAAAAAAAAAAAAAAAAAAAAAAAAATTAGATTGTTTTCTAAAAAGGAACACTTCACAACAAAACACAAGGGCAAGCTAGAGTTTTGTCTTTTTGCATTTTACAAACAATGCAGATTTTAACAGAAATGGGCATTTTTATAAATTAACCAGACATGTCATCTGCAGCTTTTGCAAGAGGTTCCTTTAGATTGTAAGCCCATGTGCTAAGCACTAAGCCCTCTTTATCCTTTGTATTGGTCTGTGTATATTGTATGTTCTCACCTAATTGTACACCAGTGCGGAATATGTTGGCACTTTATAAATGCCAGTAACAAAATGAAAATAAAATGCATAGTTAAATGCATGCATGTGTTCATTGGGTGGATATCTACTAAACCTTGACTTTGTATTTAAGCAGTAGAAGTGTCCCACCTGGGTTTCCTGCCACACGCCTGATCTCCTTTCAAACCATTTTACTCAAGCAGGCTTCTGTAGCTGATTCAATAGCAGACAGCTTTCTGACAACGAAATGGTCATAGAAATATGCATGGAATACACATAGAATTGTTATTACCCACCCATAACACTTGCCCTGTGCTGGTTAATGACAGGCCATTGACACTGCTGGAGGTGGAGTTAGTCCTCCAGGAGCAAAGAGATTAAACTCTGTGTGTGCGCATATACATTCCTTTATGTTGTATGTTTTCTGAACTAATTTAATATATTTTTCTAATTTTTTATTTAATAGATAGATATTTGGTTCATACACACTGGCATTCGCATCTTTTCATCCCAAGTGAGTTCGCGGTTCGTCCACGCTCGGTAGTTTTCATACGAATTGTTACTTTTCAGTTTTTTCGAATGACTCAAGTTTGGCAGGTTTCTTGCGAATTGCAGCCATTCGTTTATTGTACTCGCATTCGCGGGTTTTGTGTACGATCGTGTATTTCACTGTTCAGTTTATTTCAACAGTTTTTCACGCGAATCGCTGCTTGCACGATTTCAGTTAGTCCCTCGCAGATTGATGACATTATGGGCAGGTATTCCAGTTAGTTGGCTCTCAGCTAGCTTTCCCGTCCACTTTACCTCAGCACAGCGTTTCTCCACAAATTTGTTGGTAATAATTAGAAGTTTGAAATTATTTGATGTGACGGACCACCTGGCACCCCAACCGGGTGCCCCAGTCAACTGATGCTCCTCGTGCTCACCAAGGACTCAATTATCTCCCAAAAAAAAAAACCAAACATTTTTTAAAAGTCCCAAAAGTACCCCAAAACACATGATATCCAAGATGGCAGCCACCAGGTGGTTGTCTACAGGAATTGCGGCCACCCAGACGAACACTTAGAACACTGCGGTGAGAAATGTTCCAAGTTGTTAATAGGTGTTAACAAGCTCCAAAGTGGTCTCTGGTTCATGCAGTTGTTCGATAATTTGAAGTGCCGCTTCGAAAATTCGAAGGGCTGCTTCATTAGTCCAAAAAAAAAAAGCACAGAGTCTTTAACCCAAAGTTAACCACAGGGGTTATAGTCAGAGGGCAGGAGGCTGGCAACCAGGCCCCTCCGAAAACCAGTGGTCACTTTCGCCACATTTGACATTCCGGTCAGGATTTTACCTAATCTTTTGCAACATTACTATTAGTAAATAGTAAAATAATTACAAATTACAATTTGTTGCAATATTGAACAATGAATTCTAAAGAAATTAGATAAACTCCTCAGTCACCAAAACCTGGTGCTACTCACGACTGAAATTCTCACTGAGGATTCTTTACAAAATATTGTAGGCTTATCCGTTCACAAATCAATTTCATCTGAAATTTATACTGCAATGTCTTCCATGCAAGAAACAATTGCAAAGTCTCTGGCTCATGCCATAAGCAATTCAAAACCTAATGATAAGACTCAATGCTCCTTCAGACCAGTTCTGGTCACCTGTGGAGTCAGAACGGAATTTAACTTAGGGATTCATGAGGTCTTGGAAGGCCACCCAGAAACGCAAACACAGCTTTGATGGTCCTTTAGAATCCCCTGGCTGTTCTAAGTCACACAAGATGGGGGAAAGACCAAGATCAGAACAAAAATGTGTGTCTCACGCAAAACTGAAGAGTACAATCACTCAATAGAACCTCTGCTCGTGAGGAAGACAGACAAAGGCAATTCACAGGAGCAAACCTGACTCATAAATCCTCCTGCAATGATGACTCAGCTTCAAACTCAGAAGATGAAAAATCTGATTCTGCCTCAAATTATTAATCTGTTTGAGAGGCACCTGAGCTTCTCTCTAAATCTGATGGAGGAAATAATGGATGTTGGGAAATAATGGATGTTGGGAAATAATGGGAAACCATTATTTGACAAAGACCATATTAAGCACCCTAGGTCAGCCGAATGGGTCCCTATGGCTCATGTAGCCAAATATCTTGAATGTTGGTTGAGGAAACCCCTTGATCAATTGGCTAGAAATAAGCCAAGAGCTGAATGCCCTAGACCAACTTTGTCTAAGAAAGTCGCACAGATTAGATCCCACTATTCTGCCATTTTTAACAAAATCAGGGAAGAACCCAAGAAAAAGGACTTGACAGATCACTAAAAATCTTGTCAGGATAAATTAATGGACATATCAGCAGTCCAATACATAAATCGCTTAGGAGGTAAAAAAAATCCAAGCAACTGGCAGACATTGCCAAAGATTTTTGGCACTTTTAGCAGATTGGAATTCCTATTTCCTAGTGGATTACAGAGACTAGATGTTGGATCCCAACATCTTTCAACGACTACTTTCCCTGTGGGGTCCGTTTCAATACGACCTCTTTGCATCTGACGCAATTGCCAATTAGAAACATTTTTCAGTTGGCGTCTGGATCCAGAGGCAGCAGATCAGCATTCCTCCAATGCTGGAAAGACAATCAATTATGCATTTCCCTCATTTGCGATTATATCCTGGGTACTTCTGGAACCATGGTCTCAGAAATCAACCCTGGTGGTAATAACCCTTCTCTGGCCATCACAACCATGGTTCCCTCAGCTTCTCAGCATGCTGATACACTTCCCACGACTCCTACAGATGCGATGGGATGCTCTTCACGATCCGGAGGGAAATCTTCATCCTCTAGTACTATCAGGCCAACTACCTTTAATAGGAGCTCTCATCTCGGGTGATACGAATCTCATAGTAAATTTTCAAACTCAACTACAGACATTCTATCCGAAGCATGGGCACCAGGTACCCATATGCACATTACAGATCAGCCTGAAATATTTGGTGCAAGGAAAGGGCTGTGGATCCTGTACAACCAGATTTAGCAAACTTTCTAAATTTTTAGTCAGCCTCGTTTGACTCAGGCAAGGCTTATAGCACCATTAATGTTTATCGATCAACTATCTCAGCAAGTCACGACCCTATTAAAGGATTCCCTGTGGGCAAACATCCCTTTGTCTGCAGACTTATGAAGGGTATCAAATTTAAGCATCCTCCATGCCCTAAATATCATTCTACTTGGGATGTTACTCTGGTACTCCAGTTAATAGAATCGTGGGCTGACAATGACATCCTTAAAATTGCTTTTGTTTAACCTTACCACATTACTATGCCTCATTTCATTTATTAAAAAAAAAAAAAAAAAGTTTGACGTTAAGGCTTTACACTTTAATAGACAATATACTCCTGATGGTGTTAATTTTTCTATTGTTAGACGTACCAAAACTAATCTCCGCTCTGTGTTCTAGCCTTTTTCTTACCATTCTCTGTGTTGTCAATTGTCTTCAAACCTCATCTACAAGAAATTCTAATTTCTCTCAATTGCTAATTTCTTTTCGTAAAACCTGTCTCCTCTACACCTTTAACCAGATGGGCAAGACAAACTATGTCTATGGCAGGTATTGATATTTCAATGTTTGGAGCTCACTCTTCAAGAGGAGCTATGACAACTAAAGTGTTTCAAGGAGGCTCTTTATCAGACCTGTTATAAACTGCAGATTGGTCTTCAGAATCTATATTTAAAACAGTTTTATTTTAGACCCAACATGCTTCAAAAATAATACTGTAATATTATAACGATGTTATAAATGCATGCGCATGTATGTAAAGGATCTTTTTTTCCCCCACCTCTTTTCAGATTTAATAAATGTTTACATTTTAAAAACAATTCACACATTGCAATATTTGTCTTAACTCCGAAAAATTTATTGAAATCCTGGACATGAGCTAATCTATTTTGGTTATCTTTCTTTAAGTGTATGAATTGTGTATAAATAAAGAATGCAAAGAAAATAAATAAATAATAATAAAAAAAAATTAAAAAATATAAATATATATATATATATTTCCCCATTCTTCAGTTCTGTTTGGCACGGTTTATCACCTGTTTTGTCCTCCCTCTACCCAGCACTGGGATATATGCTTGCCCTTGGCACAGGATCAATATTAAATTTTGCCCTAATTATTTTATCTCATTGTAGGACCATGCAAGCAAGGGTTCCCACAACCAAAAAGAGTCTTAATAAAAACACTGTTTTTGGTTAAAGAAACCAGTTAATTAGAAATATCAAAAGAGGTATAGCGTTTCCATCAATTCTGATAACACAATGCATAGATTAAAGTTTATGTTCTTTATATAAGTAAATTTTGTGTACAATGACAGGTACACTTTAATCCCGGCTTTGCAGTCACTCTCCTTGCGTGAACTTTAAACCAATTATCTAGAAAGCTGCCATACTACTCAAGTGAACTTACTCCATGCACTCTTCTCTGCATCCTAAGTCACATTACGTAGCTCTGTATAAAACCAGCCAATGAAGAACAAGAGAGCTTGACTGACATATGCCCACACCAACAGTTCAGAGGAATGGCTGGCATTACACAGAGACTAATGATATTTCTATTTATCAAGTAAACTAAAGAGTTTCTTAATGAGAAATTTTAAGTTTTCCTTTCTCTGTAATTCTATTAAAATCTTTGTACAGTTCTTCGGTTTTGCAGCCAGCAGTGAATGGGTTAATTTCACCAAGAGTCTGAGTCATTAACCAATATACCAATTTCTTGCCCATTTGCAAGATGCGGCTGACATAGTAATTTATGTGGCTAAAAATCTCCACCCTCAGTTTGTACGTACACATAGCATAAATAAGATTGCTTTTCTAGAACAGCTAGGTAATGGCAATGACAGCTTTGTTACAATGTGATTACAAACAGTGATTATGACATCCTACTCAGACATGTCCTGACAAGTATTTGGTAAACCAGCCTAGAGCACTGACCGACACATCGTTTATTCTGCTTGAGAAAATATGTCACTCTTCAAACAGTGCTTTTTTTAAATAAACAAAAGTCAAGAGGAAAAACAAAAAACAAAAACGGACAACAACTGTCCAATTGGGCTACTGTGTTGGCTATAACACTAGGAGTTTTGGAATGACATTTATGTAATTTGGAGTAGGATAGTTGTGGTACTTGGTCCATTTCTAGAATTCTTATTGAAGGCAGAGGAAGCAATTTTCATTTAAGTACATATTCTATGCTATATATTTGTTTTTGGTTTTTTTTCACCATCACATTGTATTTAATTGTATACTAGCTTGATGGGGAACTTGTCATCCACAGGTTTTGTAGTTTATGGATTCACTGTAATAAATTTTTAGGTGGTGGTCATGCAATGGCTGTATAGCTGAATGGCAAATTTAGCACTGTATCTGCCTCATCATTAAACTGGTTATAGGGTGTGGTGCCATAATTTCATTCATCCAACTGTTTTATGTTTTAATGCAAAATGAGTCCCCAGCTTCTAGATTATCGAAACCCCAACTGACGATATGAGGGGTATGAAAAGGAATTGTGTAGTCTCTGTTCTGGCCACACTTCTAAAAGGGGCCGGACTGTGTTTGATCAGGGAACCTTAATTGGTGGAAAACTGCCATAACTATTCATGCATTTTTATGGTACTGTGTGTAGCAGAGCTCCCTGTACCCTGGATGGACAAAGTACACAGTTTGAGGAATACAATATTTGCATTTTAAAACTTGTAATATTTGCATTTGCCCATAACACTAGTTTCGCTTTTATTACGCATGTTCTCTATGGGTAACATTCAGCGCCTCCATGCAGAGCACTGACACAGAACTCTAGTGGTCGTCTGAGTGACTGTCACTAGAGGTCTTCGTAGGCAGCAATGTAAAACACTGCCTTTTCTCTGAAAATGCAGTGTGTACATTGAAAAGGCTACAGAGACAGGCTATAGGCACCAGAACAACTACATTAATCTGTAGTGGTTCTGGTGACTAGTATCCCATAAAAAAAAAAAAAGGCTCACAACCATTTTAACTGGCTCCTATATTCCAAACAAGATTGGCAAGCCCTGGATTACCCAGTTGTGTCAATGCATTTTTTCTTCTTTCCTTTCTAAAAAAAAAAAAAAAAAAACCACACACCTTCAACAGAACTGGGTAATCCCTAAATGCAGATCGGTAGGCGTACCACCTTGAGAACTGATTTGGAAACCACTGCTATAAGGCAACAAAATATATCTATAGAAAATGGGACACAGTTTTCAAACATATTCCAATAATCGAAAGACAAGATATTCTACCCTAAAGAGGGGGACCTAAAGAAAATACTCGCTGTTGTCAAAACTAGACTGCGTGTAACACATGCAAATTAGAGCAGCTTGGCAACCCAGGCTAGCGGTCATCCCACTTCTGTTTTACAGCCAATTAATATTGTCATACACAGTTGAGCATTGCACACAAGTGAAAGGACTGTTATACATAATACAACAGAGAACCATTTAGAGCTGCAGGTCTAGATTCATAAAATAGCCTTTAGATGTGGCATAAAACTAAAATGCTTTTCAGCTGCAGTGTAACAACTTTATGATCATTAAATCATCCTCAAAGAAAGTATCTGCTGAACATAAATAATTGCGGTTTCTCAATATGTGGCACAGTTTCCTGTTGGCTACCACTAAAATATGCAATATTTTGGTACTAAAAAGTTCTCTTCCAGTTTACTCAAAATATGAGAAAATGGGCCAATGATAAACATATGTTAATTTATCAAACATCCCATTTGTCTTGATGTAGCATCCCTTTCAATCAGTCTTGACACAGTGGAGACAATGCGCAAACTAACCAAGGACAGGCTATACCAAGTAATATTAAATATCTAGAGTGAGTTGCCTACACCAAAGAATATGAAGGGTGAGGGATTTTAAGCAAAAATAGATTAGTTAAAAAAACAAAAATAAAAAAGCCTTGCTTGCCAGTTCTCCAGCTGATCAGTTACTAAACAGTTCTTTTGTCTCCACTCACAGAATTCTGTTAAAATAGAACTACAGTATCAAAGCAAGTCCAGTGTTTGAGCAAACAGAAATAATTACAGGTTTGTTTTTTCATTTCAGAAATCAGCAACACCAATATTCAGATTTTTAAGTACAGCAGTACAAGTGTTTTAGATGTATGTAGAATGTAGAGCTTTCACACACACAGCGATCCTCAACAGTACCTCACTTTTCTACCGAAAGGATTCATGATAACATGCACGAAGACAGAACTGATTGTTTCAAAACTGGAAGCTGTAATTTCTGTAGAAATTACATCAGAAAGTAACTGGTTTCTTTCAAAATTATATTTAAGATTTAGCAAATGAAAGCACAATTAATTCTAGTCCTGGTATAGCCATAAGAGGCACTGCAAATTAATTTAAATAGAAACAGTTGGGATTATACATTAAGAAATAGCCGAAAATAAGGCTACAGGTGAAGTGGAAACATTTTCCAGAGCAGCAATTTTTCGAGTTAGTATCAAATTAAATGTTTATCTTTCATACATATTTCTTAAATATAGTTAATTTATCATAGTTAGAATTCAAGAAAAGGGATAGTACTCCTTTAAAAACGTTGGCACAGGTAGATCAACCAGTCCCTGTCTTCATGATTCATTATTCCAGTCGATACTCATGTGAGATCTCAGGACTGAGATGCCCAATTCCTAAACAGTTGATAACATAAAATAATAAGTCGGATATAAATATATGGTTAAGCACAAGGGTACTTATATGGTAATTCAGACAGATGCCAATATAATCATTACACAGTGTATTATAGATGCATTACCTACAAACTGGGAAAACATGAATTCTTTACTATCCGTGGGGGATTAGGAAGTCTGTTTAAGATGCAGTCACAATGGCAAATGGCTACGAATAGCAGCTGCAGCCATGCAAAAAAAAACAAAACAAAAAAAACACCTGCCTTTAATTTGAATAAAGGTCCTTTTCAAGATGATCCTGCGTACATATGATTCATAGAATCACATTAACCAGTTGTTCCAAGAAAGTCTTTTTAATGGTTTTCTTGTGACCTTGCCTTTATAAGATGATCGATGCAGCCAATTTCACATGTGTAATCTGCTTACATGCAGAATATTTATCTTATATTACAGGTTAGTTAGAAATAAATTATCCTTAACGCTAGTGTTCCAAAATACTGTTCGCACAATAGAAAGGAGATATATATCTTAATATATTAAAAACCAAAAAGGTTATGGTGGGGTAAAAAAAAATAATAATTGTGATTGAAAACCACTTCCACCTGAAGTCTGTGGATAGTTAATACAATGTTAAACAAAAATCTGCACACCAGTCAAGCCATTGAACACAATACTTTCACTTACATCATTGGCCTTCACTTGTGTGCTAACATAAAACTAGATCAGGGGTAGGCAACCTTTTAATAGTACTGTGCCAAAACAAAATCTTGAAGTCTCTTGGTGTGCCGGTCCTACTTAATTGTTTAAATTGAGGTGTGTATGTTTTGTTATGCTGGTGTTATTTATGGGTGTTGCAGTTGCTTAGCAGTATTGTATATCTTCATGTGTAGTTTGTGGTATTGTGTGTGATACCTATGCATGTGGGCAGTGTATGGAGTGGCTTGTAGAATTGTATGTGTAGATGTTATGTCACATTGTGAGTTTGGTGTATATGTGTGGGGTTGCATGTATGTGGATTGTCGAGGAGTGTGTGTGTACCATTCGTATGAGGAGGAGGCCTCTTCTGCAGCTCTGGTATATCTAGGAGGTTAAGCCAGGTACAGCAAGCCAGATAACAGGTCAAGGGAAGTAGCTACAATAGCTTCCGCAAGCTGCTCTACTCCAGGGTGGATTCTTGTTCACAAGTGCTGGGATAAAGTTTTTGTATTTTTTAGATCACTTCCTCTAAATGCTGCAATGCATAAATTGAGGATTGTCCCTCACCACCTGCAATCACCGCTTTGTTTGCATTTGCAGATATCTGAAGCGGCACTGGGACTCCTCATAGGCCAGAACCTGTTTGGCTCTAGCAGCCTTGGGTGCCCTGCCATGCAAACACACTTTACGTGCTAAAAGGTTGCTGACCCCTGAACTAGATGATTAAAAGATCAACATTGAGTAGCAACTATCTTCACACAGAAACTTTAACTACAAGCTCCTCACACAGCAATTGCTGGCAGGTATTCTACATTAATAAATAAAAAACATCAAATTTAGTTTGCACGTGTATAATTGTAGCAAAATCCACCTGGCTGTCCAGCATATTCCCCGCTCATTGCTTTCCCCATAGACTTTAGTGTGAATTAAAATGTTCGTCTAATTGTTCCCATAAACTGTACTGAAATACTTCATTCACCATACGAACAAACTACTGCACACCGGACCACCTTGATGCATAAATGTGACTTCAATTAACCTCCCAATTCGTTTTTATTGCCTGTTGTGGGAAACTCACGAACACTTTGTTAAGTCCCTGGGTGGCCGATATTTTGAGAGTTTGACACGTGGCGGCGGCCATCTTAAACTCCCGAACGGCTGTGTTTTGCAGTCGAGTGTCTGGAACTAAGATCGGACACTCGACTAGGCAAACACCACTGAGACCTCCAGACTCCCAGAGATTTGTGCTAAAACAACCGAACGGCGCACCGTTCGGTAGAAAGACTCTCTCACACTAAGGGATTTATGCGAATACAAGATCAACCCTGGATGGCATGTATTTCGGGATTTTTTAAAAACATGAAGAGAGACCGACTGCAAAGCCAAAACTTATGGAACTATTTTCGGCTACTGTTGCCTGTGCCGTCGGTCAAAAACTTTAAACCTCCATAACTCCCAAACCCCTGGTCCGATCTGTGTGATTTTTGAATATGTTGCTCACCCAGATCAGGGGATACCAGATTTAAGGGTGTACTTCTAAAACTCGGGGAAAAGTGTGTACTTTATTAATTATGTTAAATGCTTATCTGAGGGGTGGAGAATTGTGGGTGGTTACTGTACTAATTATTGTGGGTGTCTCCATTGCACGGGAGCATTGCATAAAAGCAGGGGTTGTGGGATTAAAGTCCAGTTCTGCTCCTGATACTGTGTGTCGTCCAGTTATTGGGAAAGGTGATGGGATACTATTGGATTGTACTGCTGATTGTGCTTGTTATGCTGCTGGATTATTCTCTCACAGTGGGTACTGTGCCTGGGACTATTGCTTGTTCCTGAGCCATACTGGGATCTACAGCGGATTTAGCCTGTGTGATAGCAGCTCTTCGCTACAATAATGTTTTTAGAATTCACAGTAAAACTCACTAGGTGGGTGTCCTTTATCAAGAGGAAAGTCTAAGAAATCCGATGTTGATGGCGATGGCCATCATTTTTAATAGAATTCCACATATTTAGAATTCATATAGAGTGGTATTGTGAACGATAATGTAAATGTTAACAAGGAATTCTTGCCATGAAAAAGCACCAGCCTAGTCAATAGAAAATGCACTTAAAGAGTACTAAAGTGTGTGTGTATATATATATATATATATATATATATATATATATATATATATATATATATATATATATATATATATATATATATATATATATATATATATATTTGAGACACACACACACCTGTATTCACCATCACTGAAGAGCATAAGATGCAATTCATATAGGACCCTTGATTACATATGGTTAAGCCCCCTATGCCCATTATAGGTGCAGGGTGCATATTCTTATTTGTTAAGTGTTTTGTATGCCCTCCTGCCCAGCTGATGCTCTGTACCAACTAAGTTGATCTGGCTATGGAGTCTGTTGCAGCACTATCTGCTGGATGTGAAGATCTTGCAATCGTTATGTGCAGTATCACATGTTGGTTGCAACCATTTTGTGCACTACATGAATAGCAAGACAAGACTCTGTAATTTGCATATTTAAATAGATTTGCATACAATGGTTTCTGCAAGCAGAGTACATACTTACTATTAGTCATGTTCCCTACCACTTTATAAATGTTATTGTGTTATCATGAGTGCCTGTATGATTTGGTTATATGTATTGGATAGTGTGTTGCCATAAGTTTAATGTAATGTGGATATGGACTAGTCAAGTTTACTTTGTAGGGGGATCCCAGTAAGTATTCTAACAGGCTGGCTGCACTCGACACAGATTCCTGGGAATAATTAAGAAAGCCACCGGCGCCTTTGTAAAGTGTGAAATCAGCGTAGGCAGATGTGTCAATAACCAGCCTGTCATTAACAGAAGAATGAAAAGCAGAGGGGATGATACCTGCCTGGAAGAGTGGAAAATGTACTCAGAGACCCCAGTCAAGCTTCAGCGACTGGGTCCCTGATACGTGCACTAGCGAAGATGCTCAGTCGGAGTACAGGCGCTGTCACTATATTGTCACATGACAAATCTTAAAAGTAAACTTGTGCACTACGTTGGAATAAAAAATAAAATTACAACTCAAAAAAACTGACAAATTTAGGAACCACTAGACTTTTCTATACAAGTCAACTTTTGTAAACACTGCAAGATTTGAAGCCTCCCATCTTGACATTTACCATTACAAATGAAAATTGATTAAAAGAAAAGAATAGGTATCTTATTGAGCATGCAGAAAAATAGCTCCCAATGCTTTACATTGGTACATGCCTTCGGCACAGCTCATTTTAGCATGTGTTAAGTATTACTCCCATCCTGTCAAAACACAGCAACGGTGACATAAAAAAAAATCATGACAAGTGACAATACTGTTGTGACATATTTTACTCAGATGTAACGTTACAGACTGGGAGTGGTCAAAGGTGGATCCCCAGCTATGGCTCAACTAGTTCAACAGCTTGGGTTTGTCTACCTATTGGCCACTCTTGCTATACATTGTATTTTGGTACTGTCAGATTGTGTTATAGAATTACACTTCCCATAACCTGGTGGTACATGTAACAGAGTCTGACACACACAATACCAATACATTTCAAAGAAACCAGGCATGGTTTGTCACACACACACACCATTACATTGCAAGGAAACAAAGCACATCAGACTATGCTTGTGTGTAACATACTGAATTAAATAACACTAGCAACTAATCTTTATAAAGTGCCAACATATTTACCAAACCTCGTCATTGTGTCACAATATATCTAATTAGGCTAAACCATGCCCAGTGTGCCCCTCCCGCCAGCCGTGCCCCCCCTGCCCAGTGTGCCCCCCGCCAGCCATGCCCAGTGTGCCCTCCCCCTGCCAGCCATGCCCAGTGTGCCCTCCCCCTGCCAGCCATGCCCAGTGTGCCCCCCCAGCCATGCCCAGTGTGCCCCCCGCCAGCCATGCCCAGTGTGCCCTCCTGCCAGCCATGCCCAGTGTGCCCCCTGCCAGCCATGCCCAGTGTGCCCTCCCCTGCCAGCCATGCCCAGTGTGCCCTCCCCCTGCCAGCCATGCCCAGTGTGCCCTCCCCCTGCCAGCCATGCCCAATGTGCCCCCCCCTGGTACTCACGCAGTTTCTTCCACATAGCATGGTGACAAGCCACGAAGCCCTTGCGGATGGCGGCGCACACCTCCTCCGACTCCTGGGACATGAATCCTTTCTGTTTGCGGATGAAGCCCCACAGGTGATCCCGAGCGAAATGCGCGGCTTCCCGGCCGCCGTGTCCGTCACAGACCGCGAAGAAAGCCACGGACTGCCTGCCGGAGCCCTCCTCACCGCCCGGGGACACAGCCCGGCTCTCGGGCCCCTGCTCCGGCTCCCGGGGGCCCCCCTCCTCCTCCTCCTCCATCCAGGACAGCTCGTCCTCCCCGGGCTCCGGCTCCACCAGCACCTGGGTGACATCCTCCATGTACTTCCTGCCGCCCTGGTCGGAGGAGACGCTGACCCGCAGGGTGAAAGCACTCATCCTGGTTAGCGCTCCTTTGTTACCGCCGGTGAGAGCAATAAATGTCAGCGCGGTCCCGCCGGTCCGAGCCGGAGCCGTGTGTCAGGCAGCGGGTGCGCGGTCACAGTGAGTCTGTCCGGTGCCCGCCGCCCGCGCCTCTTATTGTTTATTTCGCCCTCAGTCCGGACCTGTCCTGGTGCCCGCGCTGCCGTGACGTCACTAACTGACGTTGATTGACGCTCAGCTGTCCGGGCAGTGCACAGCGCGCGGCCGCCCTCCCTGCACACTGCGCGTGCGCACTGACACCAAGCCGGCGCTGCGGCCGCCATCTTGGAAACTGGCAGTCGAGGACAGCCCTCCGTACAGCGCAGAACGTTTAAAACGTTCTGGAACTTTCCAGGCATCCATCTTTGTTAGGGGGAAACAGAAAAATGATCATACGAGGCTTACCAAATACAGGCTTTCTGATAATGTTCAAAGCCTTCTCCTCTGTTTTTTTTCCGATCAATTCTTGGACATGGCAGTCCTGTTTTGGATAAAATTTGCAGAATTGGAAATATAGTTCAACTCAGGATTAGAAAGAGGGAGGGAGGCCATCAAACTGCTAAATGTAATAAAATAAAATCCCACTGGTGACATGAGCAGGGCTATTCACCAAACTCTGAATCACAGGGTAATTAAACCTGAATAGCAAACAATAGTCAATGACTACACTTGTCAAGCTGTAACACTACTGAGACTATTTCAGTATTAGAGGGATGCTCAAGGCACCAAAACAACTTTATCTAAATTAAGTTGTTATGGTGCCAGGAGGCACTCTTACTTCAAGCGGTGATGTCCACTCCCACTTACCAGGCAACATATGGCTTCTGAAATGTCACTTTCAAGAAGTTCTGAGTGTTAGGGTGAGAGAGGTGAGCTGTTGCTCTCAACCAATCAACATACAAGAGCCAGCGTATTCACTCATTCCCTAAACAGCAATTTAAAGCCTCACAGGCAGGGCTGGACTGGGGATACAAAGCAGCCCTGGAAAAAAAAAAATCTAGGCCAGCCCCATAAGTCATTGCGCCATATATTGCCGTATGTAACATGTAAGGCAATGTCTTGCCACCCCAGATGGATGAGTTATATATAGAATATATATTGCTTTTTCTAATATATAATATTGGTCCTTTCAGAGTAAAACGTTTAATTATACAGTAAGCATACTCATATGCAGACACAGACAATCTCACTGACACACACAAGCTCATTGATACACAGCCTCATAGACATACTGCTTAATATTCTACCTATCTCTCCCTTCCAGTTCCCCCTCCCCCATTTCTATATTTTTCTTAGTATTGGTTTCTTGTCTATCTATCCTTCATGTTTAGTTCCCAGAGAGTGTAAGAGCTTTTTAAATGTGGTTTGATTTCTATAGTTTACTATTCTTTTTTTCTGTCTGCCTGGTTCAGGGTTGTTTTACCCTCCTTCTTTCTTTTCTCTTTATCTGAGAGAGAAGAAGTAAAGTCTTATGTGGGGCAACAACAGCTTAGTAGATCATCCAATCTATTTATCCATGTATCCCAGTCCTCTGTTTGTTTATATGTTTCCCAAGTTTACTAGTATGCCTCTTTCCATTCTTTATACAGAGATGTGCACACGTTAACAATGAAATAAACCAAGAACAAAGCAGGAGAACAGAAGCTAGAAGAGCACTCGTATCAGTGGCGGATCCGGGGAGGGCAACGGGGCAATTGCCCCCCCGAGAAATCCGCCATTCTCCCTCTCCCCTGCCAGCACATGCAGGTGCTAGCCCTGCAATGTGCCTGCGGACCGGGGAGGAAGATCAGAGCTCTCCCTCCCCGGTCCGCAGGCACTGTGCTGACAGCCGGCGGCGGAGGGAGAGGGAGGACCCGGAGCTCAGGCTGCAGCTCCTCCGGGTCCTCCTCTCGCGAGATTTGGAGCGTTGCCGCTTACCACGGCAACGCTCCAAATCTCGCGAGAGTGAACTCTAGCCCGGGAGCGCGGGCTAGAGCTCACTCTCCCCACTGGACCACCAGGGAATCCCCACCGGACCACCAGGGATCGAAATATGTCCCCCCTCCTCTCCAGTAAAGGTAAGAAGGGAGGGGGGACATAGAATATTTATATTAAAAATTCAAATAAAAAAAAATATATATTTAAAAAAAAAAAGCCCCCCTACCCTTATCACTCACACACACTTTACACGCATACACTGATCCCCATACTGCCCCCCATACACACATTGCCACCCATACTGCCCCCCCATACACCCATACTGCCCACCCATACACCCATACTGCCCCCCCATACACCCCCCCATACACACATTGCCCCCCATACACCCATACTGCCCCATACACCCATACTGCCCCCATACACACACATTGCCATACTGCCCCATACACACACTGCCCCCATACACACTCTACACACATACACTACCCGATACACACACTGTCCCCCCATACACACACGCTGCCCTGCCCCCATACACACACACTGCCCCCCATACACACATACACTACCCGATACACACACTGTCCCCCATACACACACGCTGCCCTGCCCCCATACACACACACTGCCCCCCATACACACACTCTACACACATACACTGCCCCCCATACACACACACTGCCCCCCACGCACACACTCTACACACATACACAGGTTTTAAGGTTGTTATTATTTTAGACGTGTATTGAGCGCCTTTTTTTACTTGTCTTCTCTCTTGTTGTACACACATACACTACCCGATACACACACACTGCCCCATACACTGCCGCCCCATACACACACATACACTGCAATACTCACACACACACTTCAACTGTTACACACACATACTGTCCCACACATACACTGCCGCCCTCACACACACACTGTGCACACACTGTCCCCCTCACACACACACACACTGCACCACTCACACACACCACTGCTCCTATGCCCTACTACTGCCCCATTTCCCAGCAGACCTCAGTTAAGTTGTCAAACTGTTCTTAAATGGTTTGACTACTTACTCTGGGAGGGGGTCCCGGCACTATTGACACCATAACCACTACACTGAGCTGTAGTGGTTATTGTGTCTGGATTATTTATTTAAATAATCTACAAGTGCCCCTCCCGAGATCAGGCTCTGGATCCGCCACTGACTCGTATAGGGGTTAACCCAAGGACTAGAAACGTAGTGATGAAAAAACAGAAAATGAATGCCCTAAATATGTTTAAAATATAACCTTTAAAAGTGATCCTTAAAATTTATGATGAGTGTCCCTCATATTGATAATACTCAAATAATAATAAACTGAGGTATATACACAAATGAAATGAAAAAGGTCTTGTTTAGGAATATCCAGAGATCTAAATCTAATGGTCTATGAAAGATATAAATAATAATGAACTTAGGTATATACACAAATAAAATGAAATGAAAAAGGTCCTGTTTAGAAATATCCAGAGACCTAAGTCTAGTGGTCTATACAGGAGACTGTTTTGCAATCCACTCTAGCCAGAAAATAAGCAATAGCTATACAAATGCATAGACAAAATAGTATATAAACAGTCTAATGAATCTAAGTTAACTAAAGTATATACATAAATAGTGAACAGCTAAGTGAATAACAAATAGGGACCGATTAGTAACGAAAGTATATATAAATGGGTTAGAGGTCCTGTTCATAAATTTTCCAAGACCTACACTTAATAATGTGTGCACTTAATTATTAAGTGTAGGTCTTGGAAAATCCAATAAAAGATCTGTGGCCAGACTTAAAGATTGCTGTTCACAAGCGCAAACCATCCAACTTGAAGGAGCTGGAGCAGTTTTGCAAGGAGGAATGGGCAAAAATCTCAGTGGTAAGATGTGGCAAGCTCATAGAGACTTATCCAAAGCGACTTGGAGCTGTGATTGCCGCAAAAGATGGCTTTAGAAAGTATTGACTTTAGGGGGGTGAATATTGACCTTTTCTGTTATTTTGTCCTATTTGTTATTTGCTTCACAATAAAAAAAAAAAAAAAAACATCTTCAAAGTTGTAGGCATGTTCTGTAAATTAAATGATGCAAATCCTCAAAGAATCCATGTTAATTCCAGGTTGTGAGGCAACAAAACACGAAAAATGCCAAGGGGGGTGAATACTTTTGCAAGACACTGTATGTTTGTCTGCTGCAAATATATTAAAGCAACGATGTATTTTTGTGTGACTTAGTATTACCATACTATGTGTCAAAGTAGGGATGTATATGTGTGTGTAATGTTGATATGCATCAGTCTTAAAGTACAAAATGTGTAGTGGCAGAGGCTTATTTGCATTCAGTGTCAAAATGTTAATACATTGTTCTATGAGTGAATATAACAGATATGTGTGAGAGCAGAGGTGTATTTGTATGGAATGTAGACATGTTGTAGCAAACTTACCTGCTTATTAGACTCCGCTGGTCCCCTTGTAGAGCCGTGTGAGCTCTATGCGACAACGCTGCTCCTCTACTTGGGTTGCGCAAACCAAACGCTCCACACCGCTGCATGACCTTAAAAGGGAAATAGGAAAATACACTGCACTTACCATTCAGCACTGGCAAACCACTCTTTCTGTATCTTCTGTCCATACTCCCACCTCTGATGCTCGCCTTCCAGATTTCTCGAGGGCTGCACCGTTCCTGAGGAACTCACTTCCCTCCTCCATTATGCTCACCCAGTCTCCACTCCTTCAAGAAATCATCAAAAACCCACTTCTTCATAAAAGCGTATCAATTAAACTGTAAATAGCTCCCAACTGATTCCTCTCTTGCAACTGTCATTAGTCTAATACTATCCTTACCTTTTGTGTCACTTTATCCCACTCCCACTAGCATGTAAGCTCATTGAGCAGGGCCCTCAACCCCTCTGTTCTTGTGTGTCCAACTTGTCTGGTTACAACTACATGATTGTTCGTCCACCCACTGTAAAGCGCTGCGAATTTTGTTGGTGCTATATAAATAATAACATAATAATAATAATAATAATAGTTGTTATTATTATTATTATTATTGACTGCCACTGCTTCCCTGTATTCAATCGGACGTTGCCAACTTAAATGGTGTGTCCTGATATAGTTTGAATTTTGTGACATCATGTCCACCCTTAAAGTGACCACATCATTCTAGGTGATCCATTATTACTCATTTTGGAGTCGTAGAGATGACGTGTACCAATCGGAATATGTTTTAGCCTATATAATGCCTGTTTGGGTGCTTATTCAGTGCCCTATCGTTGTTTCTACCTTGATACACATTTAGTGCTTATAGTAAGTTTCTTTTCATGTTTTGATAATTCAAATATCATGTTGGTATATAAATGCCAAAGTGCATTAGTGTGATGAGTCAGTGTATGAATTCAGGGTTAGTGTTGTATGGACTCTCTGTGTTTGAACACAGGAGAACATTTGAGCAGTGTGTGTGTGTGCAATTGTCCTATCCCCTCCTCTCCTTACCATGCAGAGCAACAAGCGAGAGAAGAGACCTGGCAGGGAGAGCAGTTAATGCTACCAGGTCTCACTTAGAAGGAGGGCAGTGTGATAGGTTGCTGGAGCCCACACATCATTACAGATCCCACATCCTATTGATGGAACAGATTTCCCCTCCCTATTTTGCTTTCCAGTTAGAGCATGTCTGTGCGGCCAGGCCCTTGGCTGTCTCTGGCACTCGGTTCCCGAGTGGTCAGTCCGGACAGGATTCTGTATTGTCTGGTACAAGAAGAGGCCTGTGGTGGTGTGGACACAAAACCTGGTTAAAATGTTGCAAAATTATTTAACCCCGATGTTCCTCCCTCAGCACCTGAGACTGCTGCCACCCGGATTGCTTTCTCTTTACCAGTGCAGTATGAGGTTTTGTCGGGCAGCAGTGACAAGTAGTGATGTCCTGAACGGTTCGCTGCGGACTCATCATTGAGTAAACTTTGACCCTGTACCTCACAGTCAGCAGACCCATTCCAGCCAATCAGCAGCAGACCCTCCCTCCCAGACCCTCCCACCTCCTGGACAGCTCACTAAGAATGCAGCTTCACAATGAAAGTAAAATGGATGCTGTCCAGGAGGTGGGAGGGTCTGGGAGGGAGGGTCTGCTGCTGATTGGCTGGAATGTGTCTGCTGACTGTGAGGTACAGGGTCAAAGTTTACTCAATGATGAATCCGTGGCGAACCGTTCGTGGCGAACCGTTCGCGAACCGTTCGTGGTGAACCGTTCGCGAACTGTTCGGCGAACCGTTCGGGACATCACTAGTGACAAGCTAAGAGCATCAGCTTGTAGATTCCTGATTTTAGCATCTTATGGCTGATCTACTTTTTTTTTTTATAGCTCTATGAGATAGCGCAAATAAAAATTCAAATGTACGAACAATTGATTTTACTATATTTTTAAATTTGTTGTAATATTAGAAAATGTCCACTAGATGTCACTCAATCCAAATATCCTTTGGCGTAAAACGTTATCAAACTTTCAAACATCCAAAGATCTGTAGATACCATTACTGTGGTCAACACACAATTTCTGTTTGATTCTATAGTTAAAAGATTTAATTTTGCAGTATCTCAACATAAGTATATTTCTTTCTCCTCACTACTGCACACATAACTCCTCTCAACTTTTAATGGGACAGCAAATCCTGTCCTTTGCTATATCCCACAAGGGGTCAGTTCTTTTTTCTCACCCAAGCAAGCAGAGATTATTCTTATTGCTACAAGGACAATAAAAACATCTTTTACTGGGACAGTTAATTTTGTGCCTCAATTTAACATGATAACTTCTTACGCTGAAGGATATACATATTGAGTGATATCTAGTGTGCATTTTCTAATATTACAACCAATTTTGATATATGTGTGTGTGTAAGCTATGGATGGTATATATATATATATATATACATACATACAGATAAACTAATAAACAAAAGTATATGTGGAAAAATTAATACAAAATAAACCCAAAAGTGTATACAAAAAATATACAACCTGAATAGGCTGAAATAAAAACAATCTTGGAGAGAGAATATGACACAATAGTGTAATATCTAAAGAAATTAGAACGCATGGAGGGAGAAGAGAGGCATTCACAAGATGAAGATGGAATATAGGCCCTCCTCCCCTAAATAGGGGTAACTCCAAACGTGGGTATCTTCCAAGTAAGGAAATCATGAGGTATTACTTTAGGATCTAGTAGCAATAAAAAAAGGAGACCACAAATAGTGCAATACTATATATATATAAAACAATATGTAATAGGTATATGCACTTACAGGAAGTAGATTTAAAAAAAACCACTCATCTCCACTGTGTGAGGATATATATGGGGTGATAAATATTAAAAATAATATTTTCATACAAATTATCAAAAAATAATTTAATAATTTTTATTATATCCAAAATGTGTGTATATATATATATATATATATATATATATATATATATATATATATATATATATATATATATATATATATCTGTCTATCATGGGGGGGGGGGTTGCACTCACCTGAACATGCTTAAATGGGGTGCTGCTGGGGGCCATATTATACAATAAACAATACACAAGATCCAGCGCACTCTCCTATCTACTAAACAGCAACTTCAGTGTTGAAAGATTTGATTAGTTTTTTTTTTTAAGTTTTTTCTAAAGGTTTTTAAAAAAACAAACCACCTAATATAGGCAAAAATAATGGGGATTTAGTTACGTTATGATCATACATTGCATAAGCCTGCCACAACGTCAATGTATTTGGGAGTCTAGCCAACTCCTTGGTTTTGCACCCCTCCCTGTTACAGGTGCCTCATCTTAGGTCCCTATTTAGCCTTGTATTGCAGAGAGCCTCAGATGTAATTTTTTCCCCAAGTAAGTGAGTTATACACATAAGAGTAGACATTAGACTGTGAGAGTAGGACCTGCCAAAGATGGGGTACATTGACGTTGTGGCAGGCTTATGCAATGTATGATCATATAATGTAACTAAATTCCCATTATTTTTTTGCCTAGATTAGGTGTTTTTTTAAAAAAACCTTTAGAAAAAACTTTTAAGAAAACTAATAAAATCTGTCAACATTAAAGTTGCTGTTTAGTAGATAGGAGAGTCCGCTGGATCTTGTGTATTGTTTATTGTATAATATGGCCCCCAGCAGCACCCCATTTAAGCATGTTCAGGTGAGTGCAACCACCCCCCCATTTTTCATTTATATATAGAGATGGGGAAAATTGACGTTGTGGCAGGCTTATGCAATGTATGATCATATAATGTAACTAAATCCCCATTATTTTTTGCCTAGATTAGGTGTTTTTTAAAAAAAAACCTTTAGAAAAAACTTTTAAGAAAACTAATAAAATCTGTCAACATTGAAGTTGCTGTTTAGTAGATAGGAGAGTGCGCTGGATCTTGTGTATTGTTATTGCAAAATTTATATATTGGCACTGTTCCCCTTAATTCATTTAAAACTAAGACCTACCCACTATTTTAACTATTATAGACCCTGAAGTACATTTTTTAGAGGATTTATATTTCACACATTAATTACAAACTAATTATAAAAATATAATTTATTGTGACAATAATAATAATAATTTGTAACATGCGTGACAATAATCAGTGAATATTTAGGTATATTAAGTGCACCCACACTTATTATAGTGGAAAATGTATTCATACTTACCGTAATTTTCTTTTCCTGGCTATTATTCATGGCAGCATATACACATTGGGTTAGCTCCTCCCCTTACAGCCGATAGGACAGGAAAACCACCAAGGTTTTAAAAGGAGGCTCCATGCCTAAGGTCCTCAGTCAATTTACAAGCTCTACAGCACATAAATAGAGACATTAATGGGTGGGAAATCTATGCTGCCATGAATAATAGCCAGGAAAAGAAAATTACGGTAAGTATGAATACATTTTCCACTTTCCTGGCTAATCATGGCAGCATATACACATGGGGAATACCCAAGCTTACAAAGGGAGGGACAGAATAGCCAATCAAATAATCAGAATAATTCAACATAGATAGAAGAATGAACTGAGTTAAGTACTTGAGTACCAAATTGTGCATCATAGGACTATTTTAAAGAACAGCATGAAATGCCAGACAAACGTGTCTAAAGAGGTTCAAATGCTAGCTTACAAAAAGTGTCAGCAGAAACCATTGCCATGGAAACCCATGATGCTGCAACAGCATGAGGAGAGTGCCCTGATACCTTTCAGCACAGGTAGAGAACGGACAAGACGTCCAAATTGTGCCTCATTAATTGCTTTAATATCCAATATTTAATGCAGGACAAACTAGTTCAAAGAGGTCCAAATGCCAACTTTACAAAGTTTCAACACCATTGCCATGGAAGTCCACGAGACGCTGTAACAGCACTAGTGGAGAATGCCCCAAAATCCTTTGGTACAGGTAGAGAATGGCATTGAAAGGCTCTCACTGTAGGCAGAATCTCTGGTGCTACATGCAAGACAACCATATCCTGTTGAAATTCAGTGAATGGGGGCACACAGGATCAAGCCTGAAGTTCACACATTCACCCTGCTGATGTACCAGTCACCAGCAACAGCAACATCTGTGCTAACATCATGGAAGCTCCTGCTAGAGGTTCAAATGATGGTTTAGTCAGAGCCTGTGAGACCAGTGGTACGTCACATATTGGTTGCTTGAAGCAAAGCACCAGGGGCATCAACACTCAATCGGTACCCTTCAGTACAGGTAGAGAATGACATAGATAAGCATTCACCATAGGCAGGATCTTCAGGTGCCATATGCAAGACAACTATATCTGTTGAAAAGTAGTGAAAGGGGGTTCACAGAATCAAGCCTGGAGTTCACCCATTTTCCTTGCTGGGGTACCAGCCACCAGCACTTTCTGTACTACCACCATGTAAACTCCTTCTAGAGGTTCGAAAAATGGTTTAGTCAGGGCCCGTGAGACCAGTGGTACGTCACATATTGGCTTCACCACACTCAGTGGAGGCATGATTTCAATCAATGCCTATATGAAGCAAAGTGCAGCTAAGTGCTCCTCTAGAGTGTTATAACACAGAACCTTTCAAGGCCTGAACGAGGAGTAATTCCAACAGACAAAAGCATGTCAAGCCTTGTAAAGCCTGTATAGGATTGGAAGAGGATCTCAATGACCGTCTCAGGGATGCCCATACTAATATGGACTCCCGCATCAACACCAGAACTTGAGGATCCTGGTGTGTCAAGGGGCCTTGTAATAGGTCTGGACGTACTGGAATTTCCCTTGGAGGTCCCAGAATCATCTTATTCATCATAGGAATTAGAGTCAACACGATCTTCCACTGTCACCTTTTGCATTGCCTTTTTAGGAAAGTCGAAAACAGGAAAATAAAATTCTAAATTTCTAAATTTGAGTCAGTGTATCCTGAACCTGAGCATTCTGGTAAGTAAGCATCCTTAAGATATATAGAGGTAAGGAAATTATCCTTCCAGATTGCTTGAGATATGGATCTGATTGACTGCATCCCAAAGACTCTGACATTCAGCCTCTTGTTGGCCCCTCTTAGGTCCAGTGTAGCCTTCCATGTGCTTTTCCTCTAGCACCAGAAGAGAGGCAAAACTTGTCCCTGGAACTGCTCTTGTTCTGGGACCTAAAAAAAAAATCACCTCTTCATCCAGAAGGCTTCTTCCTTCAGTGCTTTACCTTTTGATTCATTGGTCTTAATACTCCAGTTGGTATGGAGACTCCTGTGCCTGAAGAAAAAAACTCCAGTCTATATCAATCTGGACTATGGATATCACTCAAGCCTCCAGAGTATGACGAGCCCAGGTATGTGTGATCAGAAAGATGAGGCTCCTAGTACTGGAGGAGATATGTTCATTGCTGAAGAGCAAAACGACTGCGTTATAGCTCCATTAGAACCTTGAAAGGCAGGTTTACCAACTGCCATGAGTTACCTCTGGAGTATTCCCTGCAGGGCCAGTAGCTCCATATATCTCAGAAATACTGGTCACTGGAGGTTCACCGGTCAGACTATGAGGAGCTGGGATCCTTGGAACTTCCGTCCTGAGGTACAAATATCTTGCAGCCCTAGGGTAGTTTCTGTGAAGAAGTCAGTTATAACCTGAAGACTTCAGACTGCCTCTTCAATCTTGGCTTTAATATCTCTCTCCATAGTAGCCGTTATAGCTTTAATCACATATTTCATGTTTGTAGAAACAGCAGCGGAAGTCACAGCTGGCTGGCCTCCTGCAATGATAGGCATAACATTTTGGACAGGTCTGCATCCACCTATGATCCATAAGTTTGCAACTTAGGTGGTGTAGTTCTGGGTTTGGAAATAACTTCCTCCACAGGGTAAAGCCTGGCCTCTTTTCCTACCCCTAAGGCCTCTGGAACTTACTTTGTAAGCCCTGCCCGCATGTCATGTGGCTGCACAGTGATAGGTCATGCTGAAGCGGCAACCTTCTGGAGGAAGTCAGTGCATAATCGATTCCTTGCACTGTTTTCTCCTGATAACCAGATCCTGGTGAAGAATCAGACATCTGACAAATAATAACTTAATATTACCTGTGGTAAAGTATTAAGTAAAAAAGTGCACTGTTAAATTCTGTAAGAAACCAGTGAAACAGCTTTAAAACAGACTGAAGACAGCACTTATCCATGTCTGGAGACCCTGCAAATACTTAACAAATAAGTGTGGTATGTTTACTGTAATTTTGCCTTTATTTTAGGAACTTCCTGGCAATTGCCCTTATCCAAGATGGCTGCCACAACTTGTATTCCCACAATGCAAGTCATCTGTATTAGGCCCATTAAGGCACAAACTGCACACATGTGGGTTTATTCCAAGTGTTTGCTGTTTAGAGACCTCTGTCTGAAGCCTACATGGCCCCTAAACATCCAGGGAACCGGTGTTCTATCAAAAAACCCTACCCCGTTAGAATTCCCTACCCACGTCACTTCCGGTGATGCGGCCGCACCGGAAGTGACGTTCGCCAATTAAGGAGGAGGAGGTGTGCCGCACTGGGCAGGCGCAAAACCACAGGGTAGGGAAATTTCACAGCAAGCGCTGGGGAGAAGGAGGTACCTATTGCGCATGCGCCATACCTGCCAACTGGCTGCCGGCCGTAACTGTGCATGCTCAGGGAGCCTAACCAGGGGATACAGGGTAGGGAAAAATTATGGGCAAGTGTGCACGCGCGGCTAGCTACTCCTGTCAGCGGGATACACCACTTGTGCGCACCAGCGGGCAGGGAGATCTCATACCGAACATCCATCCGATCTCCCTGCCCCACACTGCGCACGCACAGACCCAGCTATCACAGCCTGACATACGGACACCACGCGTGCGCAGTGTGGGGCAGGGAGATCTGATGGACACTTTCACTGTGAAATCTCCCTACCCCTCAGTTCGCACACGCGGTGTCTGATCATCTGGAGCATCCTGACTGTCATCTACCAGGTCAGTCTCTCCCTGCTCCCAACACTCTCAGCCATGTGGGGTCTGCAGAGTATATTGGGGGGGTCTGCGCATTATATGGGGAGCTCTCTGCGCTGTATATTGCGGGTGTCTGCGCAGTATATGGGGGGCTCTCTGCGTAGTGTATGGGGGGTGTCTGCGCATTATAATGGGGGGCTCTCAGCGCAGTATATTGGGGGGTCTGCATTTTATATTGCGGGTCTGCTCAGTGTATTGGGGTGTGTGAAGTATATTGGGGTGCCCTGTGCGTTAGATGTGAGGGGGCAGTGTATTATATTTGGGGGATGTGCGTTAGATGGGGAGCTGTACCGTTCGTGTGGCCTGTGTGTTAGATGTGTACAACCCTAGTTTCACAAAAAAATATTTATTTCCTATATATATACCATGGCATGCTTTTTGCTACGAAACCGCAGCCATCTAGTCACTCACCAGAGAAGGATGAGAAACTGCACCCCAGCCAGAGGGACTGCCCCACATCTGCAACCAAATCCGTTGGTCACCGAATTCAGTAATCTCTGTCTTTTTGTCCATTCTGTATGTATGGTACTCCCACTTCTTATATTTAATCCAGTGTGTCTCCCACAATCTTTGTGTCTGTTTGCTGTATGTATGTGGCACGCAAGTCTGCATGCACTGTGTCTTTTATGCCATTTACTCTAACCAGTTTTTCTTTTGGTTTTTTGTGTGTGTCACAACTTTGACAAGCCTGTTCTTCTATGGGACACGAAGTAAATGAAGAGGAATAAAGAAGCCCATGTTTGATGCTCGTCTCCAGGGTGGAGTATTGAATTTATAAGTACTGAAGTGGCATCTGGCACTTGACAAGATTCTCCTGTTTGCACAGCGACTTCAATATTGTGTACTGTGATCACGGACTAGTTCAGAGGTAGGTAACCTTGGGCAGTCCAAATGCTGTGAATTAAATCTCCCATAATGCTGGCAAAGCATTATGGAAGGTGTAGTCCAAAACATCTGGAATATCGAATGCGTATGAATGAAAAGTATGGTGTGTGTGAATGGTCAGTAACAAGGGTTGAAGCCTTGACGTGGCATTACTGCTCACATGTGTATCCATGTGCCAATTCAACCAATGTGAGTGACTAATACTTATGAGGTAACCATAAATACAGTGACTATGGAGAATTAAACGCCTGCATCACCTAAACACTGCTTATATGGTGACCGTATCTCCTAAACACTGCTTGCACTGTGACCGTACCATCTAAACACTGCTTACACTGTGACCATACCTCCTAAACACTGCTTACACTGTGACCGTACCATCTAAACACTGCTTACACTGTGACCGTACCATCTAAACACTGCTTATACTTATCGGGATCCATCAAAGGTGAAATCTAGGGTGATATACTCCATGCCACTTTAATCGGGGGTAATAAAGTGTCCCAGTATGGGATGAGACCATCGTTCTGTTTAACAAGAGGACAGTTGTGCATCATCTATGACTGGCGGCTCTGCAGGAATTCAACAGGTTCATGAAATGGAACCCTCTGTTGCATTAGACCCAATTCTGAGATTATGACTGAACCCTAAAGCACTTCATTTTTTATGATATTTTATTTATGTATTTTGAATGTTGTGCAAAGACCCCAGATGGTCACTGTTCAACTTGTATTCCAGTGGCCATGAAGGGCAGGTGAAGGTAGTTTTTACTTGACTTAAAATGTCCTTTGTATGCATTTTCTTTCTCAAGGTCCTCTTCAGCTCCTGGAGCGTTAATCTGCCAGGAGCCAATGGAAGCGTTCTACTCAAGTGCATGCATTAGCTCTGTCTTTTGTCAAAAGTAGGAAAAATGCTTAAAGGACCACTATAGTGCCAGGAAAACACTTGTTTTCCTGGCACTATAGTGCCCTAAGGGTGCCCCCACCCTCAGGGTCCACCTCCCGCCCGGCTCTGGAAGGGGGAAAGGGGTAAAAACTTACCTTTTTCCAGCGCTGGGCGGGGAGCTCTGCCTCCGATCCTCCTCCTCTCCGTTGGCTGAATGCGCACGCGCAGCTCTTGCTCAATGCTTTCCTATGGATGCTTGCGTGCTCTCACTGTGATTTTCACAGTGAGAAGCACGCAAGCGCCTCTAGCGGCTGTCAACGAGACAGCCACTAGAGGTTTTGGGGGAAGGCTTAACCCATTCATAAACATAGCAGTTTCTCTGAAACTGCTATGTTTATATAAAAAAAAAAAATGGTTAACCCTAGCTGGACCTGGCACCCAGACCACTTCATTAAGCTGAAGTGGTCTGGATGCCTAGAGTGGTCCTTTAAGATAAAGTTGTTCCGGTTTGCTCTTAATTTGTGGGCGTTGCAGGGATGCTTTAAGTCAAAATTGAAAGCACTCTATCATTCTTTCTATTCTACGCCTCTAATCCTCAACATGGAAATTGTAGTTTGTAATAATAGAAAATATGTAGATTGTAATATGCTTTATGGTTACGTTCTGGTGAGTTTTAACTTAATTTTTTTTATTTTTACAGCTCCTTAGGGAAGGCGCAAACCACCTTGAGGAGTCCCTGCATAAGAGACTATTGGATACAGAAGGCTGTACTAAAGGAAGTTCTCATCACCGCATCATCCAAGCCCTAGTCAGGAGTATATGAGGCCTCTTAAGAGTAAAGAGCGACTAACAATATCTGATAATAGGCCACGTGCAATTATTATGTATGTAATGTACAACATACTTTTTCACTTTTTGTTACATTAGAGATTAACAAATATTGTTAGACTTTGTTTACTGCTGACTTAAAAAAAAAATTAAAACTCCAAACAATTTTGAAATGTGCAGTGAAATGTGTATCTGTAATCAACGTTAACCTGCTAATTATTGTGGGACAACGGAGAGCAACTGTAGCGGATGGCACTGGGCTGTCCTGCAAATGTCTTTGAAAATAATTGCATTCGTGTGATCTGCTAGTTTTCTATGTGTTTAAAAGCCTTGTATTCTTCTGATTGTTCGGTAGTTTCATTCCCTTAGTTTATTCGAATGAAAATACCGAACAACCAGACCTCCCCTGTGTAAAGTGTGTCCTCAATTACCCGTTGCAACATTGTTGCGAACGGGTAATTGACTAGGAAGTAGCCGTCCTTTGTTCTCGGGGGTGGCCGCCATTCGACAAATGAACACGTGGCGGTGGCCATTTTAAAACTCCCAAACAGCGGTGTTTTGCCGTCGAGTGTCTGGAACTAAAATCGGACACTCGAGTAGGCGAACACCGCTGAGACCTCCACAAACCTGGTCCGTTCGGTTCCAAACTACCGAACGGCCCCTCGTTCGGTAGATAGAAAATACCGAATGAGGGGATTCAGGCGAACCCTCCCTAGCCTCTATAGCTAGAGGCTTTCGTGTATTTCGTTCCCTTATGTCATTTTATTCCCTCCATACATTTCCCAAACCCCTGGTCTGATCTGGTTAATTTTTGGATATGTTGTTCCCCCAGATCAGGGGTATCCGGGGATGTAGGATTTAGGATGTAGGATTTAGGGGTACATCCAGAAACGGGGGGAATTACTGTACTGGATAAGGGGATTATGATGCTGGCTGAGGGGAGGAGATGTGTGGGAAGTTACCAGGACAGGATTGGCTACTGTAATAATTACTGTAAATCCCCCCCTTGCATGGGAGCATGCTTTATAAGGAGACTGTGGATTAAAAGCTTTCAGTTCTGCTCCTGAAACTGTGTGTCGTCCAGTTATTGGGATTGCTGTGGGGATATTGCTGTTGTTTTACCTGCTGGAAACTTTGCCTATGGATTTATTATTTACTTGTTCCTGAGCCTCACTTGGATTATAAGCGGAGATAACCTGGGGAATATTGCATCTCCGCTACATTGGTTGGCAGCGCTGGGATCCAGACTCACAAGGGAACAAGTACTAATGGAATAGGGATGGCCGAGGTGCAGTACCTCGGACATAGAGTGGGGTGCGGCAAACAGAAGCCTGAACCAGCCAAAGTAGAAGCCGTGGCCCAGTGGCCCACCCCTAGGACTAAAACCCAGGTGTTATTTTTTAAAGGAACCCTGGGTATTACAGAAAGTTTGTCCCTAACTATAGCGCCCTCGCCAAACCCCTCACTGACCTTACCCGGAAGAATTTGCCCCGCCAGGTGACCTGGACCCCGGAGTGTGAACAGGCATTCCAACAGCTGAAGAATGCACTGATAAATGCTCCTGTCTTGGCAGCTCCCAATCCAACTAAACGTTTTCTTGTTCACACAGACGCTTCTATGTTTGGATTGGGAGCAGTACTGAGCCAAGTCGGAGCCGATGGCGGAGAACACCCTGTGGCTTACATCAGTCGCAAGCTATTACCCCGAGAAGTAAGCTACGCCGCCATCGGTCATTTTATTCCCTCCATACATTTCCCGAACCCCTGGTCTGATCTGGTTAATTTTTGGATATGTTGTTCCCCCAGATCAGGGGTATCCGGGGATGTAGGATTTAAAGAGGTACCCCTACGTTTAGGGGTACATCCAGAAACGGGGGGAATTACTGTACTGGATAAGGGGATTATGATGCTGGCTGAGGGGAGGAGATGTGTGGGAGGTTACCAGGACAGGATTGGCTACTGTAATAATTACTGTAAATCCCTCCCTTGCATGGGAGCATGCTTTATAAGGAGACTGTGGATTAAAAGCTTTCAGTTCTGCTCCTGAAACTGTGTGTCGTCCAGTTATTGGGATTGCTGTGGGGATATTGCTGTTGTTTTACCTGCTGGAAACTTTGCCTATGGATTTATTATTTACTTGTTCCTGAGCCTCACTTGGATTATAAGCGGAGATAACCTGGGAAATATTGCATCTCCGCTACAGCAACCCCAAACTGGTACTCTATCAAACAATCCAGGACTGTTAGGAAATATGGTTTTGTATCAAACTATGATAATTTATGGTGCAGTTTTGCTTATAATTGTGATGACTTTCAAAAGATAGCAATAAGCAGAGTAAGAAGTTGCTCTTTAAAGGAACACTATAGGCACCAAGACCACTTCATCTCGTTGAAGTGGTTTGGGTGCAGTGCCTATGTCCCCCTTAGCCCTGCAATGTGAAATATTGCAGTTTCTGAGGAACTGCAATAATTACCTTGCAAGGTTATCTCATCCTCTATTGGCTGTCTAGCAGAGACCAACTACATGAAGTGACACTGGACATCCTCACGCTTTGCATGAGGACAACCAGCGTCTTTAAAAAAGCTATCGAAAAGCCTTGTGTTAATGCTTTCCAATGTGGAAGCCCAAATGTGTGCGCAGGAGGGACCTGATGTTGCCGGAGCCTGACCCAACAATCAGGTAACTGACAAAAAGGGTGAAGAGGGTGTTAGAAATACAGTTTGATATTCCTAGCACCATAGGTTTCCTTTAAAAAAAGTCTTTACCCCATTTCTAAATTTATATAGGTTCCTAAAACATCTATAACGCCAAAAAGGCACTCCAATCTGTGTTCAACAATAGAACCTGAGGTCTTTGTTTTTTGTTTGACCCTCTGAAATCCACCATCTCATCACCCTACTGTAGAATTGCAGTGATGTCATACATTGGGACACAGCTAGTGCTGTTATTTATAGCTAACACAAATAGCATGTCGAGGTATCAGCTGTGGCGAAACCAACCTCGCCACTGTGAACTGGAGAAGCCTGGTTGCTCGCCTGCTCCCTTTGGACTATGGCCCTGCAGGTTAAACCATTTATTTTCCCTGCAGAAAGGCTTATTCGTGTGATCTGAGTGCCATTCATCTAATAAGGTGCGCTCAGATCAAAGCTATCTGGGGATGTGTAGAAATGTGTGTTTTATGTACTAAATGTATCAGTATGTAATTTTATGTCTTTTACTGTCTTTTTGTCTGCCATGTGGGTAATGGAGTTTTGCCTCTGTCCTGGGAGATAATTAGATTCCTTCCCCAATTATCTCCAGGCCAGAGGGGAGGGATTGTGAGGCATTGTGGGAGGTAACTCATGTGTGATTGGTGTATTGTGTAATTGTTGTAAATCCCTTCCTTGCATGGGAGAATCCTTTATAAGCCTGTTGTGTGAATAAATCAGGGTTGTTCCTGTTTAACCCTCCAAGTGAAGTGTCGTCTCATTCTTGGGGGGAATTTGACTGTATGCCGATTGCCAGGAGTGTAAGCTGTTCTTAGGGCTTTTCCTGTTCGGCTGCTTCCAGGGTTCGTGTGTTTCCTGTTCGGGAGTTGGGGATTCATACAGTTTGGAGTTCGGGAGATTGGTGATTGCAGTAGCTGCTGGTCTATGGGAAAGGGGATTATCGCCTAAACGGTTTTTATCCTCTTGTGAGAGAAACGGTCCGTTACAATTGGTGGCAGCGGTGGGATCATTTCCACAGCCCAGAAGGACAGCTATAATACCACACCAGTTCCTGGATTACAAATTGAGGGCAACGCCAGTACCCGTACAGCGACCCTATCTACAAAAGAACCAACTTCAGCAGCGCAAGCATGGCACCCAGCTACACTCAGGAGCAGTATGACAGAGAGTTTACCATGCGGCTGGCTTTCTTTGGACCCAACCCCCTGGAGAAATACGTGCAGCTCGTAAGGAGCCAGGTAGACGAGTACCTGCAGTTCATGGCAGATCCAGCCAAAGGTATCGGCCGCCCTATCCAGTGGCAGAGTGCGTTATGGGGACTCAAAGGTGTACCCCAGGGAGCTGAAGGTGTCGTCCTTCCTCCCCAGCGGCAGAGTAAGTCCCAGGGAGCTGAAGGTGCAGTCCTTCCTCCCCAGTGGCAGTGTGTATCCCAGGGAGCTGAAGGTGCAGTCCTTCCTCCCCAGCGGCAGTGTGTATCCCAGGGAGCTGAAGGTGCAGTCCTTCCTCCCCAGCGGCAGTGTGTATCCCAGGGAGCTGAAGGTGTCCTTCCTCCCCAGTGGCAGTGTGTACCCCAGGGAGCGAAGGTGCCGTCCTTCCTCCCCAGCGGCAGTGTGTGTCCCAGGGAGCAGAAGGTGCAGTCCTTCCTCCCCAGCGGCAGTGTGTGTCCCAGGGAGCAGAAGGTGCAGTCCTTCCTCTCCAGCGGCAGTGTGTGTCCCAGGGAGCTGAAGGTGCCGTCCTTCCTCCCCAGCGGCAGTGTATATCCCAGGGAGCAGAAGGTGCAGTCCTTCCTCCCCAGCGGCAGTGTGTACCCCAGGGAGCTGAAGGTGTTGTCCTTCCTCCCCAGCGGCTGTGTGTACTCCAGGGAGCTGAAGGTGTAGTCCTTCCTCCCCAGCGGCAGTGTGTACCCCAGGGAGCTGAAGGTGTTGTCCTTCCTCCCCAGCGGCAGAATGTCCTGCAGGGAGCAGGGACTGTCAGTCTTGCTCCCCAGCCGCAGGACAAGATAATGAAAGGGGAGACAGCTGGTCCCCCTCTCCACCAGCAGAGAGAGTGTCAGGGAGAGGAGCCTGATACCCCCTCTCCCCAGCAGCAGTTTACAGTCCAGAGAGAGGAGCTTGTTACACCCTCTCTCCAGTGGCAGCCTAACCCACCAAGGGGAGATGTTACACCCCCCAACGGTGCAGATGGGACCGTAGTCTCTGTACTTGCAGCACAAGGGGTAAGGACGGTCGGTCCTGTCCCCCAGCCACAGAGCGGTATATCCAGAGGGGAGACAGTCGGTCTCTCCCTCCCACAACCAGGCTCCAACCAGGCTACTTCCGCAGTAGCACTGGCACCAGGGCAGAGTACCGCTAGTCTCTGCCCACTCAGCAACCCACCAAGGCAGCCTAACAGTTCCCCACACAGTCGTAGTGAGGCACCTGGACATGGACAAAGCTCTCCTCTACCCAGGTGTAGTAACCAGTTATTGTGGGTGGGCTGTACTGCTGTTTCTGTTTTGTGGGTGGGTTGCTGGACTAACCAGGGCACTGACCGGCAGGAGGTCAGATACCCTGTTAGTCTAGTTGGTAAAGGGGAGAAGTGTGGCGAAACCAACCTCGCCACTGTGAACTGGAGAAGCCTGGTTGCTCGCCTGCTCCCTTTGGACTATGGCCCTGCAGGTTAAACCATTTATTTTCCCTGCAGAAAGGCTTATTCGTGTGATCTGAGTGCCATTCATCTAATAATGTGCACTCAGATCAAAGCTATCTGGGGATGTGTAGAAATGTGTGTTTTATGTACTAAATGTATCAGTATGTAATTTTATGTCTTTTACTGTCTTTTTGTCTGCCATGTGGGTAATGGAGTTTTGCCTCTGTCCTGGGAGATAATTAGATTCCTTCCCCAATTATCTCCAGGCCAGAGGGGAGGGATTGTGAGGCATTGTGGGAGGTAACTCGTGTGATTGGTGTATTGTGTAATTGTTGTAAATCCCTCCCTTGCATGGGAGAATCCTTTATAAGCCTGTTGTGTGAATAAATCAGGGTAGTTCCTGTTTTAACCCTCAAAGTGAAGTGTCGTCTCATTATTGGGGGAAGGATTTATTGTATGCTGTTCCAGTTTGACTGCTAGGAGAGTAAACCTATTCGCATGGTTCCTATTCAACTGTCTACAGCATTCAAATGCTTGAGAGGATTCATATGCTTCTCCGGTTCGGTGGTTGTGGTGTCTGCTGCAGTGCTTGGAGTCCTCAGGAAGCGCTAGGAGTATCCTTTAACGGAGGTACCCAGTCGGGGTGCCAGGCTATCCGTTACATGATGTGACGAGACCAATCTCGCCACATTGCATTGGAGAAGCCTGGTTGCTCGCCTGCTGCCTTTGGACTATGGCTCCCTGTTAAAAGACATCTTTTTTACCTGCAGAAAAGCTTCATTCGTGCTTTTCTGCCTGGGGTTCGGTAGATTTGTTTGAATGTGTTATACCCCAGATAGGAATCCCATGGAGCCCATTCGTATAAAACTGACTGTAAAGACTTTGGCTCCATGGCGATTAAACTGTATTCGTGTGGTCTGAGCGCCATTCACTTAATAATGTGCGCTCAGACCTGAGATATCTGGGGATATGTTAAATGTATAGTTTTAATGTAAGGTGTCTTACCTGGTGTATTTTAACAGTAATGCTTGTTTTGTGTCCCCATGTGCATAATGGAGTCTTGTCTCTGACATGTCTGTGTTTTATGTATAAAATGGGACTTTGTGTATTCTACAGTATTTTAATGCTTTGTGCTAACCATGTGCATAATGGAGTCTTGTCTCTGTCCTGGGAGATAATTTAATTACTTCTCAATTATCTCCTGGGCAGAGGAGAGGAAGCCAGGATGCATTGTGGTAAAAAGTATGTGTAATTGGGTTACCTCTCAGGATAAGGGGGAGGGAATCTGTGGGTTGTAACTACTATGTTACTGGATATTTTATACCTCCCTGTGGGCGGTCCTGTATTTGAAAAGACTGTAATAAAAACCAGGCTGGGTGTGCCAGCACCTCAGACCACTGCTTGACCCTCAACACAGAGCCTTGTCTCGTTCTTGGGGGGATTCACTGTATGCTGTTAGAGACTGATTGCCAGGAGTGTAAGCTGATTGTCTGTCTGCTTTTCCTGTTCGTCTGCTAGCAGCTATTTGGGAGGTTCCAGTTCGGGAGTTGGAGTGCTATTTTGTATCCAGTTCGGGAGTTTGGTGTTCTGCAGTAGCTGTGCCTGCATCTCTGGAAAGGGGGCCGATTGCCTAAACGGTTTTTACCCCTTGTGCGCAAAACGGTCCGTTACATCAGCAAAATACTTTATTTCTTCAAAGTTAATATAAAGTTTACACTTTATATGTATAGTGAAAAATATAAAAGTCAATGCGGAAACTGGCTAAAAAAAAGCAGAGTGTCGTATCCAACATGGAGAAAGTTCAATCACCTGTACAGAAAGGCTGTATGGCATTAGGAAGGCAGTCTATCTGGGCCATCCATGATTCTTAATCACTGGAAAATGAAGGTTACATCATGTCTGCAGCATGTGTTCCAAAGCAGTCATATGGAAGTTTTCTGTAGCAGAAGGTAATCTCTTCTGTTTCAACAGGTCTAGGTTAATGGTGGTGTTTTTTTCTCTGGCACTGGAATCAGTAAAGGAGTGTAAAATTGAGAGGATCACCTTGTTTTTCCCACAAATCTAAGAAAACTCATAACAGAAGATTGAGGATAGTGGTTAACAACTTAATGAAACTGCAAACACTAAAACTAACTTGAAAAAAATTACAACATTCACAGTGTAAGCAGTGCTGAGGTGATGCGGTCACGGTATAAGGCAGTGCTGAGGTGATGCGGTCACGGTATAAGGCAGTGCTGAGGTGATGCGGTCACGGTATAAGGCAGTGCTGAGGTGATGCGGTCACGGTATGAAGCAGCGTTGAGGTGATGCGGTCACGGTATGAAGCAGCGTTGAGGTGATGCGGTCACGGTGTAAGCAGCGTTGAGGTGATACGGTCATGGTGTAAGCAGCGTTTGGGTGATACGGTCACAGAGTAAGCAGTGTTTGGGTGATACAGTGTTTAATTCTCCATAGTCACGGTATTTATGGTTACCTCATAAGTATTAGTCACTCACATTGGTTGAATTGGCACATGGATACACATGTGAGCAGCAACACCACGTCAAGGCTTCAACCCTTGTTACGGACCATTCACACACACACCATACTTTTCATACATACGCATTGGGTATTCCAGATGTTTTGGACTACACCTCCCATAATGCTTTGCCAGCATTATGGGAGATTTAATTCACAGCATCTGGACTGCCTAAGGTTACCTACCTCTGAGCACAGTACAAAATGCAACTTGTCATGAGTCAGATGCCACTTCATTACTTATAAATTCAATACTCCACCCTGGATGTGGGCCTCAAACATGGGCTTCTTCATTCCACTTCATGTACTTCGTGTCCCATAGGAGAACATGCTTGTCAGAGTTGTGACACACAAAAACAAATAAAAAACTGGTTAGAGTAACTGGCATAACAGACACAGTGCATGCAGACTTGCGTGCCACATACATACAGCAGACAAACACAAAGATTGTGGGAGACACACCGGATTAAATTGGGAGCACAATACATACACACTGCACAAAGAGACGGAGATTACAGAATTCGGTGACCAACGGATTTGGTTGCAGATGTGGGGCAGTCCCTCTGGCTGGGGTGCAGTTTCTCATCCTTCTCTGGTGAGTGACTAGATGGCTGCGGTTTCGTAGCAAAAAGCATGCCATGGTATATATCTAGGAAATAAATATTTTTTTGTGAAACTAGGGTTGTACACATCTAACACACAGGCCACACGAACTGTACAGCTCCCACTCTAACGCACATCCCCCAAATATAATGCACAGCCCCCCTGCTTCTGACGCACAGCCCACCCCAATATACTGCGCAGAGAGCCCCCCCAATATACTCTGCAGACCCCACATGGCTGAGAGTGTTTGGAGCAGGGATAGACTGACCTGGTAGATGACAGTCAGGATGCACCAGATGATCAGACACCGTGCATGCGCACTGAGGGGTAGGGAGATTTCACAGTGAAAGTGTCCATCAGATCTCCCTGCCCCACATTGCGCACGCGCGGTGTCCGTATGTCAGGCTGTGATAGCTGGGTCTACGTGTGCACAGTGTGGGGCAGGGAGATAGGATGGATGTTCGGTATGAGATCTCCCTGCCCACTGACGGAAGTAGTTAGCCGCGTGTGCGCACTGGCTTGTAATTTTTCCCTACCCTGTAACCCCTCCTGAAACTCCCTGCGCATGCGCAGTGTCAGCCGGCGGCCAGCTGGCAGGTATGGCGCATGCGCAATAGGTAACCCCTCCTCCCCAGCTCTAACTGTGAAATTTCCCTACCCTGTGGTTGTGTGTCTGCGCGGTGCATCACACCTCCTCCTCCATTGGCGAACGTCACTTCCTGTGCAGCCGCGTCACCGGAAGTTACGTGGGTAGGGAATTCTAACGGTGTAGGGTTTTTTGATAATACACCAGGAATAAATCACTGGGACCGGGGGGGAAGCAAAATAGATAACAAAAGTGCCTACAAGGAAGTTTAAAAGGCAACCGGGGCAAAAAGTCAAAATTTAAAGGCACCACAGTCTAAAGGCCTCAAGGTATAAAAGGTAACCCAGTTTCCAAAATATATCAGTTTTTAAAATATATCCGTGTTCAAATGCACTGCAGTTTTCCAAATGAACTGCAGTTTTCAATGACATGCGGTATTACATGCAACAGTATTAAATGCAAATTTAAATGAAACAGTTTTAAATGCAACACAGTTTAAATGCTTCCTAGTAAAAGCACAACTGCATAATGTACCACAATCTTAAAAATAAGGTAGAGCTGTATAATGCACTAGTTTAAAGATATCAAAGCTTAAATGCATCACAGCATAAAAGCACAACTACATAATGTACTACAGTAAAACAGGCAAATAAAGTAATGAAGATAAAAAAAACACATACATGTCTGTAAATAAAGGGAGCAAATTGCTCATGTCCTAAGTGCTGTAGGACAGGAAAAAGACTGAGGACTTTAGGGATGGAGCCTCCTTTTAAAACCTTTGTGGTTTTCCTGTCCTATCGGCTGTAAGGGGAGGAGCTAACCCATGTGTATATGCTGCCATGATTAGCCAGGAAATATCATTTTATTCAGGAGAAATAGGGCTTTCATTTAACATCAAATATTTAGCTATGAAACATAATTTAATATGAATATAATATAAAAAATGTGAGAAATTAAGAAATGTTATTTTTCTTGTTCTGCAAGACATTTTAACTGTGAATGTCATAATACCCTATGTACAAGTTTTATGGTGTTTTGGGAAGTTACAGGGTCAAATATAGCATGTTACATTTTTCATTTTTTTCCCATTGAAATTCGCCAGATTGGTTATGTTGCTTTGAGACGGTATCATAGCCCAGGAATGAGAATTACCCCCATAATGGCATACCATTTGCAATAGTAGACAACCCAAGGTATTGCAAATGGGGTATGTCCAGTCTTTTTTAGTAGCCACTTAGTCACAAACACTGGCCAAAGTTAGCGTTAATATTTGTTTGTGTGTGTAAAATGCAAAAAAATAATATGAACGCCAATTTTGGCCAGTGTTTGTGAATAAGTGACTACTAAAAAAGACTGGACATGGGGGCGGGGTCCGACCGCCATGCTGACCGGAGGTTCCTGAAGGAACTGGCCTAATTTGGAGGAAAAAACAAGCTTAAAGCCTGACTCTGAGCCAAGAGACCACCTCTAATGTCCGGGTGGTTGCCAGTGCCACTGCGGTCCCCGAGATTGGGAGTTTTGCAGCCCCAGGGGGAGATGCGAGGCTTTGGGATCTGCGGCCTATGTGGGTGGGGAGCGGAGCAGCCAGCCGCCGTCCTGCTGGCTGCTGCGCAATAGCCCAGTGATATGTCTCACGGGCCCCTGCTTCCCCCTCCTCCCCCATGGACCGGGAGGAATATCCCGGTCCACACTGGAGGGAACCACCGCCTAACTGACCCTCCAAGCCTGCCTAGCACTGCACATCCTACGCCTGGGCGCCAAAATGGTGGCGACACGACTGAAGCCGAGAACAGCATCTGCATCTACCTGCAAACAGCTCTGCCCGCAGGACAATAAGCAGCATACACCATTGACCACGGAGCCTGAACCTGTAGACAAGCGTCGGACCCTCTAAAAAGCCCCTGCTTACCCACTCATGGATCAAGCCTGGTTTCACGACTGCCTTCCCGGGCGGGGAGCCTCTAAAGATGAAACCTTGAGAGCCGGTGGCCGGCGGTGTGGTAATCATTATACCACCTGAATAGAAGCAGGCACCAAGTGTCAAGGGGATGAAGGAGCAGATTACCGCCAGCAACCACCGCAGATCTACCAATAAATACACCCCAGAGGTCCCAGGCCACAAGACCAGATGGAAAGGGCGACATAAATGGCAAAGCTCCAGTGGACTTTTCCAACACACATGGGTCACCCGATTGATAGTATGCTTTGGGCTCTATGGCTACCAGCTCTCTGCATAAGGCATTTAGTCTGGGCATAGTTCCTTCCATCTTGACACACTCATACTCCTGCTGACACTTACTATGACTAACCCAACCAGTATCTGCACACTCAACATACATAGAATTAAGCTAGAACACTCAGCATAATAGAACTAAGCGCAGTAACACAAATTCAGACAGCCTAAGTAAATTTACTATTAAGCGTGTTTAGTCAGTCGGGCAGGCCTAATTGTTTTCTCTCACCTTGCTTCCCTCTCCTAACAAATGCGCACCGCTTGCTTAACAGTTCCGTAAACTTTGCACGCAGTGGTATTTATGTTCGGGTTAATGTATACTGCTTGCCTTACTCACGTAATACTTGACAGATGTCCTGCTTTACGCTACCTGCTACCACTCATTACCTATATACTTTAAAAATGTGCATTTCTCAACTGCCGTAATTGTGAAGCGTTGTATTACTGAGCTTATCACTGCTATTGTGGCAGAATAAGCAGATATGTTCACTCATGCATCCAAATATAAAGAATAAAAAAAAAAAAAAGACTGGACTGTAAGGAAACCAAGTGCATTTAAACCTTAATCGGTAGTTTCCTCCCGAACAGCCAGAGCCCAGTGAATATAGCCCTCCGTTTGGTAGTTATGGTAGACAAATTCCCAATTGTAAATCCAATAGTGTTCCTGGATAATTCCCACAGTAAAACACACGAACTCCCAAACAGCATACATAGTCGAATAAGGGTACAAAGATGAACTGCAGGTTTAATGACAGGCATGCTCTTTTTATGGAATTCAGCCCATGCAAGGGAGCCTCCCATATAATTAGCCATACATCCAATCCTAACAATATACATACTGTACATCTCCTCCCCTCAGATAACCATTAAACACAATTAAAACGTAACAGAAATTCCCCAAAGTTTGGATGTACCCCAAGGACAATAGCTATTGTTTGGGGGACCAACATATTAAAAACACAGTCCATTCAGTTCAGCTGTTCGGGAGATATGGGACTTAGAAGTTTTGACCGACTGCACGGGCAAAGTAGCCGAAAACAGTTCCATGAATTCTGGCCCTGCAGTCGGTCTTAGGTCGCATGAAAAACCTCCCGAACGGCCGGCCATCCAGCTACCATCCTTGGTTCGCTTGATTCCCCATCCGTTAGTAAGTCTTTCTACCGAACGCTCGGTCGTTCGGTAGTTTGGAAGGGGGTTTACCGAAGGTCTGGAGGCTTCAGCGGTGTTCGCCTGTTTGAGTGTCCGTTTTCAGTTCCAGACATTCAACGGCAAACACCGCTGTTCGGGAGCTAAAATGGCCGCGAACACGTGGAAGTCCCGAAATGGCGGCGAGACCGGCCGTTCGTGCAGAACTTCTGTCGAACGTAATCCAGCCAGCAAGGGGGTACAGTCTGTATAATGGGTAACAGGGTGGTCTGCATTCGGTAGTTTTACCTACCGAATGCCATAGGGAGGGGCATTTCTTCACATGGACATACTCCATTTTCAATACCTTGAGTTGTCTAATTTTGCAAATGGTATGCCATCATGGGGGTAATTCTCATTCCTGGGCTACCATACGGTCTCAAGGCAACGTAACCAATCTGGCGAATTTCAATGGGAAAAAAACTGAAAAACAAGCCTTATATAAACCTGTACATGAGGGGTAATGTTATACTCAGGAAACGTTGCTGAACACAAATATTAGTGTTTCAAAACCGTAAAACATATCACAACAATTATGTTGTCAGTATAAGTGCCGTTTGTGTGTAAAAAATGCAAAAAACATCACTTTCACTGATAATATCATCATTGTAATACGTTTTACTGTTTTGAAACACTAATATTTGTGTTAAGCGAAGTCTCCCGAGTAAAACAGTACCCCCCATGTACAGGTTTTATGGTGTCCTGGAAAGTTACAGGGTTAAATATAGTGCTAGCAAATTAAATTCAGATAGGTTAACAATTATCTGCAATCAGATAGGTTAACAATTAATAAGACAGCTTATGAGAGACCGAAAGAAAGGGGGAAACTTAGGCATCAACCTTGGGACATGTAATGGGGCGGATGCGACATGTTAGACCTATCTGCACAGCATAATGTCCTCAAAAGTCCAGGCTTCTGGGGCTGCACTGCCACAATTTGGGATCAACAATTTGGCGGGTCCTGCCAGTTTAGGGCTGCATAAAAGCAACTCACTGTGTCTGACCAATCTGGAGGCAAATGCAGTCGTGAGAGTTCCTCTGGGGTATGGAGAGGTAGGAAGTATTGGGCACTTTGTCTAACATTAAGTCCCCTTCTTGAGTCGATTCATCCGATGCCTTGTTGGGGGTAGATGTGCTCTCCT